AATAATATAATAAGCGTGTTTTAAGGAGTTTGGTTTTTTTTTACAAGGGATTAACTAAATAATAATAAATAAGAAATATCTGACAGATCTGACCTATTCTATGACATTCAAGATTTCTATGCTTTATTACCATTTTAAACTCTACATGTAAGTTTAAAAATATAAACTTAATTTTATATTTCATTTTATATCTTTTTAAAAGCTGACAGCAGCGAGAAGAACAAGAAGAAAAAGAAGCACAACTATTTTATGCTACTACTACAATTTATGTGTGTATATTTATATTTGCGCTGTCATTAACCTATCCGGCAGGAGCAACCCCGGAGAGTTTTGATGAACACAGCTGGTCCCTTTAACTATTTGTTGAGCTTAAGGACAATTCGAATTGGGCGCCACCCACTCTAAAGGGGTAGTTGCTGTCCCACATGTCAGTCTATGTGCATGTGTGTGTGTGTGTGTGTACATGTGTGTGTGTGTACATGTGTGTGTGTGTGTATGTGTACTTAATATTTAACTCTTTTTTGCATGCGCTACGGTTCTGGTTCTGTTTCTGTATCTGGTTCTGGTACGTTTTTTTGGCTCTGTTCCTGCTCTGTGTCCGTCTGCCTGCCTTTCTCTCTCCCTCCCCCCCATCCATTTTGGCGTAGATGAAGATTAATTACAGGGAAATTCGTAACATTTTTCATGCTTAATCTTGGCGCTCATCAACGCACCCAAAACGCAACACCCCATCCCCACCGCAACTCCCTCTCGCTCTCCCTATCCCGGTCTCTCTCTCTCTCTGCCATCACTTATTTGCCTGCTACAAAAGCGGGTCTAAAGCACGTGGAGTAAAACTAACTTATTAATAATAATAATTGTTTCATGTGCGTTTTGCTGTCGTCCCATCCCATTCAACCCCCGCCTCTGCCCAGTTATGCCGGCACTATTTGCCAGCCGGAGCATGTGTCACAGTTGGGGGATCACTCCGAGACGACGGCGACCACTCGCAACGGGGCTCAAATGTGTGTATTTGAAAAATGATTCTTAGCCGCTTAGCCCAAGAGAAGTGCAATGCAGTTAGCAGTAAGCTGGAGCGTGGACTGAAACTGGAACTGAAACTGGAACTGAAACTGGAACTGAAACTGAAACTGGGACTGAAACTGGGACTGAGGCTTGGTCTGTGACTCGGTCTGCGACTCGGACTGGGACTGGGACTCGGACTGAGACTGGGACAAATCGACACTGGCACCGACATGGAAATTCCAACCCCAAAACCAAAAAAAAAAAGTAGAAAACCGAAAAACTAGTGTACGCTGCTGGACGCCTTTGCCTTATGACAAGGTCCAATAAAAACTAAGTACAAATAATTACTCTATATATTGTATGGAGTCGATTAGCTGCATCCAACAGAGAAAATCCTCAAATACAAAAATCTGATTAAGATTTTTCTGGTATTGCCCAATCCTTGCTATGTTTACTAATCATATTTTATTTATTTTTTCTTTACATAATTATATAAAATATATTTGCCAATATCAAGTGGCATTCAAATTGTAAAAATGTCCAAGATTTGTGGCAATGGATTGGCCAAGAAAAACAGAAAATATCATATCAAGCAGGAGTCAGTTTAAAGGATAGGCAATTTGGTTAGAAAAATACTTATGACTATCGCATCTAAAATAATAATTAATAACTTCATTGTTGCATTCATTTTTTTAATTTAAATTTATTAAGTCGGGTTTTTTTTGCAGAGGCTGGGAAAAATAAATACGTATATTGATTCAAGATTTTTGTAATGAAAAATCTTAACTTCAGTTCTACAATATGGTACTGAACTAGTATGAAAATGCAGACGAATCTCGACGGGATTCGAAATATATTAAATATATATATATATATATATATTGGTTTATGGTTTGTTCTTTTCTACAGATAGAATTCCTAAACAGTGTCTGCTGGAAATTTTCAGCTGCAAACGTTAAACCAAATTTCTAAACACAAAATATAAATATTGTTCTTCATCTCTTTTGCCACATACAACATACAACAAATATATTAATACTCAAATAGGGTATACCAAGGGCAGCAACTGAGCGACTGACTAACTGACTAACTGACTGACTGACTGACTGACTTACTGTCTGTCTGTCCGCCTGACTGTTTGTTGTTGCTTAACGACTTTTACGACTGCTACCTGTTCGGACGGTGTTTGCTGGTTGCTCTTAAGTGGCCTGCTGGTCAACTAAAGCCGCCAGAGACATTAATTTTACTGTTTGGACTGCGTGCGCGAGATGGAAATCTTTAATCTTGAGTGTTCTTGTGGCGCAGTTATTGATAGTTTTAAATTAGGGTCAACTATGGCGGTGTCCAGCAGTTCAGTTTGCCCAGTTGCCCGGTTGCCCAGTTGCCCAGTTGCCCAGTTGCCCACCAGCACTCGCCATGCTCCAGGTAGCAATTTCTTTTAATTACAAGCTCGGCTTTTAGCCAAAACACTCGCCCCGATAAAACAGTCGACGCCGCTGCAGGTGTTGCCAGCCAGTTAGCAGGCGCAACTAATGTCTAGATAATGGTCCCACTGGCTCTACTCCTCCCCCCTCCCATCGCCCTTAGCCCTTCTAGAACCCGAGGCCCGCTGACACTCTGACACAACGATGAGAGTCTCAGAACATACATATGTTAACCTCATCCAGAAGCAATTGGATTTACAGTGGCTACTTCTAAGTATGAGCCACAAAATTAAATTTTAAACGTTTTCTCAGCTGGTGGCGGAAATACACTTATTTATGGTATTATATAAGCAAACACATACTTACACATAGCAAAAGAGCCCGACTCTGAGATATCCTCTATAAAAATGTAACTGTTGGTTAATATAAATATACGATTCACTCACTGCCCAACTATAGGGCTATATCCTAAAATCGGTCATCGATTCAATTCGATTTTATCAACTTGAACTTATATTATAAACTTCCTCGAATAGTCTTGAGCTCAATGGAATCAATGATTGATATGATGACGAAAACCAACATTATCTCAAAAAAAGAACAACAATCTTAGACATGAAGTTGGTAATCCCTTACAGTCTACCTGCTTACATCCAAATTTCATCATTAATTTTAAGAATCAACCTTTTCTTGGGAAGCTACATATGTTAATGATATTAATGGTCCAAGGCTGAAACGTTATAACACATTTTTACCAAATAAAACCAAATTTGACGCAATCACCAACTTAATATCGAAATCTTTGGGAAGCTGAGTGTAAAAGTATTGATTTTTCAAGAAATAAAATAATATCATAAGAAAGGACAATCTACAAGTAAGCTTAACACAGAACAACTAAGGGAAATGAAATCTATTTGATATGCTTAAAACATTTTGCTCATTTCGAAGCTGTCTTAATTCTAAGTAAACTAAATTTAATGTTTTTGGATTCAATTCTAATTGAAACATTTCCAAAAAAAGTTGTTTCTCCCTCAAAGAACTGTAAGCAGTACTATATGAATTCTGAATAATTCACAAATGCATTTGGATATTGTAAAACAAATACTTTTTTTAATCAATTATAGTTTTTTTTTTTGCTTGTTTGTTTTTTGTTTGTTTTATTAATCACTTCTTAAGGACTAGTTTAGTTTTTAGTTGTTTTTTTTTTTGTTTTGTTTCATTCCTTGGATTTTCGCTCATACATGTTCTAGAAAATATGACTTTGGAAGTTTTTTATTTAAGTTTTTTTTTTTTGCTCGGCTTTTACCCGATTTTTTTGTTGATTTTTTTTTGCATATAATCTCATGGTATTATGTTGTTGTCGTTTTTCGTTAGCTTTGCTATTTCATTGTACAATAGTTGAATATACGCATACATATATGTACAAACATCCATACATATACATATGTTTGCTTGTATATAGAAGTATAATATATATATATATATATAGATATATATATATAGGGTGTATATAACGCATCTTATTATACAATACACAGTTGTTTATATCAGTTTTTTTTTCTTCTTTTATATGCATCTTGTGTTCTATACATTGTTTCATTGTGTTGTTTTCTTTTTGTTTTTGTTTTTATTCTCCAGCTCTCCTTATATGCCTAAGTGCATATATGCTTAAGTATATATATGCATATATATATATATGCATATATATGCCTGTATGTGGGCTATATATGCAGGTAGGAGGACATGAACCGTAAATCAAGTTTTGGATAACAAAGAGTTGCATACAAAAAATATTATAGGAATACATGTATATAAATGTGTATGTGTATGTAAGGTATATCTGTATATATATATATATATATGTGTATATATATTTAGTTTTGTTTTCAACATAGATATATATATATATATATACATATACACATATATATGTATATATCAATATAGAAGTACACAGATCATGGTATTCAAATGTTAGCTCGATTCTTGAATTTTTATTGTTTCAGAGTTGTGTTGAAGATCGTGGATCTCGTATAGCACTTGTCTACTGTACAAGTAGGTCTCTATGTGTCTGTGTGTGTGTGTGTGTGTGTGTGTGTGTGGGAGGTGAAGGCGGGGCATTTTGTTTACATATGTTGCAAGTAACTTGATACCCACTAAATGGAAGTATGGCCGATTATAAACCTACATGCCACGATTATACAATTGATTTGAACAGTTTTGTTTTTGATATCAGAAGACCAAGTTACCATTAAGTCGTTAGCTTTTATCTTTAGAAATAGTTTAGAACAACGCTTCGTATGTGTGTGTGTGTGTGTGTGTGTGTGTGTGTGTTGGGTATATAACTGTTAAGCGTTCACGTTCAACCGATTCAACCAATATCGTGATATTATAAATATAATCTCAAATATATAATATATATGAAAAAGCAACGTAGTTTTATTTTTTATCACGATTGCCACATATCATGAATTGGCTTTCTCGTATAAACGTAGAACACTTGTGTATGTATGTATATATATATATATATATATATATATATATATATACATATGTGTGTGTGTGTGTGTTTGTGTTTATAAATCTCTTAGCAATACAACAATTGGTTTTTTTTTTTATTCAGCCAATAATCAACATCCTTAAATTTTTGCCTTAACTAAGATAATATATGTGAGTGTGTGTGTGTATATATATATATATATATATATATATATCTTTGGTTGTGTCGGGATTTTGGTATTGCCTTAGTAGGGATAAAGGTTCTTGCGTTTCAGCTCCATATCGAGATCGGCAAGCTGCTGCAGGAAGCCATCATTTGGTCGAATTTCACGTCGCATGCGCACTGTGCGTATCGAGTCTACGGCGGACATTTTACGGCAGATCATCAGATATGCCAGGACGCAGGTCGCCGAGCGCGACATGCCCACCAAGCAGTGCACCAGAATCTTGCCTACAACATAGATACAGACAGAGAGTAAGTATGTTATATAATTTACGATATCGGTAAAGCTTATGCCCAAAAATGTATAAAAAACTAATCAGATTTTTTAAGAACAGAATATTCAAAATATAAATTGCGTAAAGGAAATATCATTTTCTGCATAAATGTAGAAAAGAATTTTTATATAAGGAAAGTTTATATTGTTGTCAGTTTAAGAGTCAAAATTACTTTATTTAAATTGCAAGTACTTTAAATATATTTCTTGCTAGCTCTATATGAATTGTGTTTTATATATATACTTCTTAAGTATATATTAGAATGTATTCAAGTTATAAAAATATATATAAATTAAGATCTCCATCTCCATCATATACTTAAGAAGTATATATTAGAATGTATTCAAATTATAAAAAGATATATATAAATTAAGATCTCCATCAGGTGGAGATTGTGTACATATTTTGAAACGTTCATTTTCCAATTATAATAAAATAATCAATATTTTCTTTTTCCATAATTAAATAAATGGATATTTTTAAAGTTATTGAATAAATTTTTTGATTGGAATAACAGCAGAAACTTTAATTTAATTAGAATAAATATAAAATTAAATTTCACCAATACTGTATTTAAAATTAAACTAGGGCATATTATGTTCTGAGTGTAGTTTTTGAATATTTCTTTTTTTTTTTACTTACCGCCGCTGCTAATGGCGCTGTCAATGAATTTGGATGCCACATAGAAGTAACGGGATATATCTGTTGTTGGCGCATCGATCATGGGGAAGCCCATATATCTAAAAAAGCAATCCTTATGTTGGCGTCTAAACAAACACACACACAGACAGACACACACACACACACACAACAAAACAAAACCAAACCAAGCACAACAAAAATGGCCCACAGTGAAATGTGAGTGAGATGTGAGATATGTATTTATGTATGTATGTATGTATGTATGTATGTATGTATTTATGTGCGTGTGAGATAGTGTGTATGAACATATATACAGAGAGCGAGAGAGAGAGAGAGAGAGTGCGGTGGAGTAAATAAAAAGAAACAGAAATTTTGTTGTTCATCAAAGTTTTTGAAGTGCGATTTTTGCGTTAAAACCAAATTGTTCGAAATATGTAAATCGATAAATCAATAAAATGTGTGTGCGCTTCATGAGTGAGGTTGCGCCTCCCCCTGTGGCATGATCATTGCATTGCTCACCTAACACTGGGCATATCCCGATAATAGCTGTGTCCAGTGTCCACCTGGCCATAGCGACAGCCCTCCGCTGCATTCAACACGTGTGTGATGCCCATCAATCTCAAATACGTTTTGTTCTTAGCCGCCGCACTGAGAGAGAAACGCGTTAATAGATAGAGCAAAGAGAGCAAAGATCTCCACTTACGCATCGCCAATATAAATGCCCGGATAGACCTCATCACAGTCGACGTCGTGGATGGCACACTCAGCACGTCTCAGGCCCGGCAGATTTCGGGATGGAGCCATCGAATAATGCAGGACACGTTGCAGCTGGCGTCCTGTGGTCTGTTCGGAGGTTTCCAGCCGGCTGGGCGACTGCAAGCAAACAGTTCAACATATTATATACATATACATATATATATATTTTATTATTATTTATCACAATCAAATCAAAATTTGAAAATCAGTTACAAAACTGCCATGCCTTGGTTAATAATTTTACCATTTATTTGTTTACCAAAATAAAGCCATAAAAAGTTGTTGTTGCTTATCATATTATTAAACATTTAAAAGCGCCTTTTACCGATGATTTAAAGCTGGCAATTTATATATATTTTATAAATGTAATAAAAAAAAAAGCATTTAAAACAGCTTCGCAACTAATTTTGGGCAATCGATTGAGCTTAAATAAAAATATTGAGAAAAAAGAGAAGTTCATGCAAATATTTTGGAAAATCTATAAAACAAAATCACAGATACAATTTATATCGCACTTCAATAACTGTGTAAGATTATGAAAAATCCAAGTTAAGGAAAGCAAATCATTCGGCTCTTTAAGATAAGATCATGCATATTCCTGAATCAAATATGACAATGGAAACAATAAAACTATCTTAAATGAGATAAATGTGAAAGGATGTTGTCATTTTTTTCTTTTTTCTTTTTTTGGCATAATTTGGCTCATAGAGAAATCCGGAAATTGGCACTGTGTGAGGAATTATAAAAATCGCGTTGCGAGAATGTAAATTTTGTTCTTGATTTTGATAGCTGAAAATATTTATGGGCATCCAGTTTCAGTTTCAGACCAGGCGACAATTGCGCTTGGGCCTTTTGTTGGCTTGTTGGGTTGTTGGCTTGCTGGCAAAAGCTTGGCCAGCGAAATTGATGGCAAAGGCGAAGGTCGAGCCTCCTAGCCTCGGAGCTGCCGCGAGAGGCCCCTTAGAGCCACGTCCTTGTTGTCTCTCTGTTTGTGTGTCAAATTCAAGGACAGCCGCCAAAGTCAATGGGAAAGTGAAACTTTCTCTGCTTAGCTTTTCCTATTTTCCTATTTTTCTCTTTTTTTTTGCTGTATTTTTTATTTTAGTTTTCGTTTTAGTTTTGCTTATCGGCTGTCTGCTTTTGTCATAACATATTCAAATAAAATTGGCGACAGCAAGGCGCCGAGGAGAACTGCGGAAAAACGGTGGAGGTAGACCGGCAGGAGCAGTGACAAAGAGACAGAGAGAGACAGAGAGAGAGACAGAGAGAGAGAGAGGAAGAGAGAGAGAAAGAGAGAGAGAATGGGGGCGCGTTTGCTTTCGATTTTGTTGTTTGTAGTTTGTTTGTCAAAAACTTTTGCTTTTTGTCGCGGCATTCGACCCTGAGCGGAACAGAAGCCAAATGCCAAAAACAAAAGCCAAATCATCTTTCACTTTTCTGTCGGATTTTGATCAATTGTGACTGATCTTTGGCATATTCACAGACAAACAAACATCTATACACACGACTAGATACGACACGACACGACACGATTATATGTATATATCTGTAGCCGTCTATTTGCATATGTCTAAAGCTTTATCTATACAAACATAATATTTTACTTTATCCATTCAGCCACAAGATTTATGGGCAACGTGCAGAAAACGTTGAGTCTGTGGAAAAACCATTAGCATTTATATTAAGTCAGATGCTTATTGGCCAAGGCCTATGCGAACTGTTTCTGCTTCTAAAAACAATTATTACTTATTTTTTTTTATTTTTGGATTGGCCAGATTTAGTTTCAAATAGCGATTATTATTAGTAAGCGACGAATCCCGAGGGGAGTTCCAAATTTAGTGGGCCAAAGCAAAGCTCGCTGCAACATTATGTTACACACACACTCACACACACACACACACTCACACACACACACACACTCACACATAGAGAACGAACAACATTACACAACACTGGACGCATGCCATGCGCAGAGCTCGTCGGATGAGCTTAAGTTGATCTGAGACAAACCTGATAATAGTGCAGACTATATCTATCGCCAATGCTGCTGCTGTATCTGTCGTTGGGTAGCTGCAAAAAGTGATGAATATTATGAATAAACCAATAATCAAGTTTATAGTTGCAAATAAACAATAATTACAAAGTATATTTGATGGTACAAAAAGCAAGCATTTGTGTGGAGCAAAGCAATTCTCAGATAATATTACTAAATCTTCTATTGAATATATCATTGTAATTTCGGAGTATTTATAAGTGATATGCAGCTAGAATTATTTAGAAATTAAATTACAAATATGTTTACATATTCTAAATGATATAGTTAGATTTTCAAAGCATTTTTTCTCAATATTAATTGAGCAAAGCGGATTCGATTTGTCAAATCCATCAACATTAACACATTAGTCAGTTGATAATATTATCTTGTATCTTAGCTAACAAATAACAATTTGAAATCAACAACATTTTTTCAGGTTGACCCAAGTTTTTAGCTGTCTCTGATTTCGAAAAGTCTAACACAACTCTTAAAATGATCTTATTACAATTTATATAGATAGATATTATACCTAAATATATTTGTGTATTTTATTGCTAAAGGTAAACGATTCCTAAGGTAAATGGCAATGGAAAGAGCAAAGTCTGATCAGAAAAGCTGCTTACGTAGTAATCGAGTAATCGTCAGCTATATTTAGATAATTTCAGTAAATATCTTATATAATATATGTGGCGGCTGGCAGCTAAAAGAGAAGGGGCACGTTCGGTGCAAATGAGGAAGATGAGACAAAACTGAAGCATTCGCGTTCAGGTGCACAAAAAGGCGTTGGCGTTGATGTTGTTGACGTTTGTTGGTTCTTTCTTTTTTTCTCTTTTTTTTCTTTTTTTTCTTTTTTTTCTTTTTTTTTCTTTTTTTTTTTTGGCCACTTTCGACGCCTTGACCTTGTTCCGCTAAACACGAACAACCAAACGTTGGTTCTAACTACACATATAACAAGTACATGTGTGTGGGTGTGGTGTGTGTGTGTGTGTGTGTGGTGTGTGTGTGTGTGTGTGTGTGTGTGTGTGTGTGTGTGGTGTATGTGGTGTGTGTGTGTGTGTGGTGTCTGTCTATAAATACACTGAACATGCAGAAAATACTGTGAAAAGCGCTGCAAATTGGATATCGCTCAGCAGGCAACGGTTTCGACACATTCCTCGAGACCGTTGGAAATATTTTCGAAAATGCCATAAATGAGCTTTGATGCTACTCATGAGTGGCGTTCGTGAGTGATAATGACTCACATCGAATGAGTCAGTAGCCCGCATTCGAAGGCTATTTTAACTGGATAATAACAATCACTTGTCTTAATTGCTGTTGCTGTCGCTGTTGCTGTAGTCTTTGACTAAAAATATTAATCAGTGACGAGCTCAATCATTAGCTTTCAGCTTGATCGAGTCACATATATATTTAGAATTCATTGTGAGCATTGTATGTATGTGTGTGTGTATGCATTTTATTTATTGGCACTTCGCCCCGGGCCAGTGTCTATGTCTATCGCAAGGTGTTGTCTCTCGCTTTTGACGGCTTTTAATAGACCACAGTGCTAGGCAGCATACGTATAGCAACAGTTTCCCACACACACACACACACACACACACACACACGCACACAAGCACGCTCACCTGCATGGTCAGATTGTTTCATGTATTAGTCAGTTGATTGCATGTTCGTCTCCATTTCGATGTGGGTCAGAGAGAGAGAGAGAGAGAAAGAGTGAGAGAGAGAGTGGGAGACTGCCACCATTTAACACTCAGGCACTTCCTGCACGAGACAGTTGCCCAACAGAAACTGTGTCAGTTCAGCTCGACTGAAGCTCAGGTCAGGTCAAGCGGTTGACCAATTGGCCAACACTGCAGTCGCAAACTGTTGCAGCCCACACGTGTTTGCACCCTGTTTGCCCACCCACTTGCCACATTTGCCACATTCGCCCCACTCGACATCAATTGGGGTGTTTGGCAATCCAGGTGCTCAGCCAGCGACTTCGCTGAGATCATCAACCCTTATGCAGCTCAATATTGTTATATATATATTGGCTTGGCTCAGTGCAGGCGCTGTTCTTAAATCTGGTTTTCCAACAAGGCTATTTCTTTTTAATTAATTCATTTTAATTGAACAAATATTGACATTTCCCATTTCATTTTTGAAATTGCTACCAGAAAATTTGAAGTCAATAAATTCAGGTCTCTATTAAAGTGTATTTGTCCTCAGAGAAAGAGCTTCTCGAAATTTGCCACACATTTATTTTCAGTCAAAATATATTAAAGACATTTATTTTGCGGTTGCATCGCGAATATTTTCTTGATTTTGGATTATATTTTCATTTTTCTCTGCCCATGTTTATTGCATTGGTTCGTATTATTTGCTGGCGACCTTGTTTTCAAATATGTATTTGTAAATGCTAATGGAAAATGGAAAACAAGTGTGAAAAATCGCGAGGCAAGCTACAAATTCTAGACACAACATGAGCAATATACCACATACATTCTCACATTCTCAATTAGATTGCCGATTTACATTGACCAAATAATTCACAAATAGGCCACAAATTGGGTCAATAACTTAAGTTGGAAATTTGGAAAAATGCGTGTTGGCAAATTTACTTTGACAACAGAAAGATTTCCAGCATTTGCCATGAGAATATTTTTCATCAGTCAGTTGGACTCACATTCGTTAAACTAGATAAATATAAGAATTCTTGTTTGTTTAAATATTCATTGCAGTCCGTACATTAAAAATAGGAATTACTAGTAATAAAGCAAAAGTTATGCTTAATGGATTTATTTTTTCTATATAATTATCATAATTTAGGCAAAGAAAACACTATGGGCCAAATTCAACATTTATGTTACCAAAAATTGTGTAGCAGTTTTTGGATATTTTTTTACTCCCAAATAAACCAATTTGTGGCAATGGTGCAGCGTCATAAAAAGGACAATCAAAGCGAATGCATTGACATGCAATGCTGCCAGACAAACTTATTGATTAAACAGTCTACCAAAATAAAAAAAATAAAATAAAATAATAAATAAAAACAGCAAATAAATAAATATAAAACAAGAATTGTTAAACAGTGGCGGAGATTGTTAATGCGCCTCACAGTCGTCATCACGTGCCAAGGGAACCACAAAAAGTTGGCAGCTCAACATACTTGTCGCATTTACTCAATGACTCAAAAGAAAACAGCAACAAAATGGGGGAAAAAAAAGCTAGATAAGCGGAAAAACTGCTAAGCGAAAATTGCGCAAATTAAATGCGCAGCAGATTTTAATTTGCCATTTAAGGTGTGCACATGCCTCGGGTGGAGGGGAGCAGGCTCCTCAAATTGTCTATTTATTTATTGTTCAACAAGTTTTTGTTACTTGTTGTTGTTGTTGTTGTTACTTGTTATGGCTGTATTTGTATACAATTTATGCATTAAATGCAGTGTTCAAGGCTGATAGGGCGCCCAAAATGGGGAGCGTTTGAAATGCGACTGGCAACGTATTTGAAAAGCTTGTTAAATATTCAAAATATTGAATGGCAGAGCTAGCGATGAGCACGTGATACGATCACAAATCGACACCAGACATAACAGTCGTGACTAGCTAAATAGCAAAAAACAACAAAAAAAAAAACAATATTCAATGATGTACCTGACTGTCTGATACCCTGTACAGCTGATTTCCTGATTTTGAATATATTTTTCCAACTACACTTTTCAGCTAAAAGTTTTCGTAGACTGATTGGTCAACTCATCCCAAGTTGACTCTTCTGGTAACAACGTGATTTTTATGTTAGTAGCTAAACTTCAAACTCATTACAATTTTGGTGATAATTGTTTTTCGTAATTTTCTTCTTTTTTTTTTGTTTATTATTTTTCAGACAATGGAACTGGCAAACAACAACAGCAGCAACAACAATAGCGACAACAATTCGCTTTCAAGTGGCCGCTGAGCATTTGTTTTGTTTTTTTTTTTATATTTTGTTGCCTTTCGCTTTTGCTCAATGGGGCGCAACAGCTGCCACACACGCCCACAATGCGCCCACATAATGGTTAAGTGTGTCCAAGTCTATATATAGGCCATATATGTGTACAAACACATATGTGTATATAGAACATGGCTAAACCGGAGATGTACAAACGCTCTATCGATCGTTTCGTTCAATTAGCGCGCTCAGCGCTTGACACTGAGCGACAACAACCACAACAACAGCAGCAGCAACAACAACAGCAAGAACAGCAATGGGCAACAAGAAGCACAGCAACAACAGCTACAACAGCAGCAGCAGCAACAACAACGACAACATTTACAGCCAGCAATGACATTGACATTTCAGCTTAGCTATTGGGCTTTGTATTTGTTTTTTATTTTTATTTTTATATATATACATTTTTTTTCGAATTTTTTAATGCACATTACACGGAAGCAGCTCGAAACGGCTGGCCAATTAAATGCACGCCCCTGGGGCGCCTCATTCGCTTCAGTGGCTCCAGCCAAAGAGCCGAAACGCAAATTCTTTACGAGAGTCTCCCCCCCCCCCCTCCCCCATCCACAAAACCTCTTCCACACCTCCTTACCCCCGTCAGCAATTTAATTAATTTTGCATTCAGCTGCTATTTGGGCTTCTACTTAGATATTTGTTCTCTCAAGTTCAATAGATGTGACTTCCAAGTCGACGCCTAAAATGTTTGTATGTCTTTGTGTGTGTGTGTGTGTGTGTTTAGCCCTGAAGGCTATAATCTGGCCCTGGTCATAGCAGCGGGTATTACAGCTCTTAGGCCGTTATACGAAAATATCGTTTATAATTAAGTTAATTGGCCCACGCGACGTATGAGTAATCTGCTTAAGCTTAGCCCCTAAAACGCCTATTTCACATGTATATGTATATATATAAATATATATATATATATGTATATAAATATACACACACACACATATACGTACATAGCTTCATCCGTTTTAGGGCCAACAGCAGCCAAATGCAGCCAATGCCTGCCTAATGCAAGCAAGTATTGCTTATGTGACGTCACAAGGGTGGGCAGCCGTAACTGCTGTAACCCACATTGGGCGCCAAAAATGCTTGCAATGTGTGTGCCGCATAGCTGTTTAAGGAAACACACACACACACGCACTCAGACATACACAACAATAGTTGCAAGTCTTGCAACTTACAATCAATTAGATCAAGCTATAATTAGAATACTGAGTATAAATATTCAGGATTTGTGGTTCGCACACCTTGGGCGCCATTTTTTTGTTTTTCTTAATTTGTCTAAAATTGAGGAAGTGGCTTATAAATAAATGAGCTCCAGTCTATATGTTTCGCAATTATACAATTTAAACAAATTAAGTTTGGATAAAATTTAGAGCTTTTGTTAACTTTAAATTGAATGCAAATGCAACGGAAATGTTTGATAATATCAGGAAACTTTCCTCACTCTGTGTGTGTGTGTGTGTGTGTATGTGCCTGACTGGTGTGCCAAGTATTATACAAAAGGCACTTGAACTTTGCTTTGGCCGTAGAGCATTTGCATTTAGGAGGCCTTGTGTGCATGGATGGATGGATGGATGAATGGATGGGTTAAGGGTTGTGCAGGATGTTGTATTGCTTGGGTGTGTGCCAAGGCTCTTGCCGTGCAAGGTGGCTGCTGTTGGCAGCTGGAAAATAGCACACACACCCACACACACACACACACACACACAAAGAGAGAAAGAGAGAGGGAGAGAGATAGAGATAGAGAGTGACAGTACAAAACAAGAACACAGAGACACGTGCAGCGACATTTTATTGTTTATACATGACGCGCAGGTGAAGTGGAAATGCAAGTGCAAAATTGTGTATGAGAAAATGGGTCACCCAGCTCAGCATATATTATATATACATATATATATATATATATATATATCTACACATATATATAGATATATGGGCTCAAGGTCATACCCGTTATCATCATCAACAGCATTAGCTGCTGATTTTGACAGTTGCGTGAAAAGTGTGCCCAGAGCACTGAACTGAATGCACACTTGACTGTTTCTTAATGTGCTTGGCTTGTTTTTTTTTTGTTTTTTTTTGGATTTATTTATTTATTTTATCATTTTTTTTTTTTTTTTGGCCCACTTACCGCATATCTCCATGACATCTTAATAAATTTGTGTGTGGCTGTGTGTGTGAGTGTGTTTGTGTGTTGATTGTTTGCTCTTCGCTTCTGTTTGCAACACGCTTCGCTTCCTATTTGTGGGCTCTGTCAGATCCGGGTCCTGCTGCTACTGCTCCTGCTCTTGCTCCTGCTCCTGCTCCTGCTGCCACTTCTGCACCTTGTTTCGAACGGTTCGTTCGTTGCTCCCGCTATGCGTTGCTTTGGCTACAAGCGTGTTTGTTTGTGTTGAAATTGGAATATAAATAATAGTACATGATAATTGATAACAACCATAGCAAACAAACAAACAAACAAACAACCAAAAAAAAAAAAAATACAAGGAAGACGTCGCCAAAAAGCGTTGCACTTGTTTTGAATGACCACCAAAAAAAATCTATTCAAAACTTTTTGCACACACTCGAACCAAAACAAAAAAAAAATGATTCTCAGGTGGCCATTTGAAAAGGACGCCAAAAGACGCTAAAGACGCACCTTAAAAACAAACGCGTCTAGAATCTGATATATGTCCTATGTACACACATATATAGATAGATATATATATATATATTTATATATATATTTAGACGTCAGTTGGATTCCAACGAATTCTGTTTAATGTTTATTATTTATCAACTGTTCCCTATTTATTTATTTATTTTTATATTATTTATATATTTTTTGTGTTGCTTGAAATTTTTCTATAGTTTGCAGCGCCTATTTCTCGATAGATAATATTCTTTTTTGCGTTCTGGCGACGTTCTTTTTGCGACTGATTTTGCAAAGCGGCTTTCGCTTTGGGGTTGGTTTTTGTAGGCGGGCGAAAGCTTTGTTCGGTCCGCGCGCTCTAGTCGGTGACGTAGTCGGAAAGCTTTTGCCGCTCAGCTTTGATTTTGGTCTGCCGCTACACGTGGGAGCCCCTAGTCAAACAGATGCGCACACACACGCACACACACACACACGCACACACACGCACACATCTGTGTGTATTTACACCCACACACACTAACGCAAATGTAAATATTTTTGTGCGAGTTTTATGTTTGCGCTCAGCTGCTACCGAAAAAAAAAGTGAGAGAGCGAGAGAGAGCAAGTGAAAGAGAGCGAGAGAGTGAATGGAAAAAGCTTTTGGCAAGCACTGCTAGCTAAAAAAGTTGGTCAACTGTAACGTAAAAGTTCCGCAACGGAAATTCAAGATCAACCAATAATATGATTCATACAACCGACTGTAGAACATTCCTAAATGTATTCACATATATTCATATATATATATATATATATATATGATATATTCGAGAATGAATGTATGAATGTATTCAAACCACACTTATTGAGCGCATTTTCTGCTTCTGATTAATTACTGAAACGGAGGCGAAAAAAATAGAATAGAATGTGCGCGGAAAATGCAAAACATTCGCTTATTGAATCACTCTAAAACGTATGAATGATTCACAATCACTCACTGTTTATTCAAATTGTCTTAACGAATGTCCTATTATGAGTTCATCTACGCTTTGCATTTGTTTTCATTTTTTTTAATCATCGCTGACACATTTTCATGATGAAAAAGGCTAATACCGTTTTCAGAAAATACATTAATTAAAATTAAAGCTTCCACTTATAAGGCATTTCTGATTGGAAGGGTGTGTTTCTTTATACACCGTATACCATAGGGGGAAGCGCCTATTGTTCCCATAGGAGATTTATAGAGCTGCGATGTTGATGATTTGTTGTACATAATGAAGAGAGACGGGCATATCATCTTGGCTATTGATGCTGATCAAGAATATATGTGTATATATACACATCGGAGACGTCTCCATCTAACTTCGTCTCAGATACGACGACAAATTTATAATACCTTCTACAAGTGGTTAGGGTATATTACACAACTACAGTGGCTTAAAAGCGACGCTAATTATTTATAGTTGCCTGTAAAACAATTTTTGATAATAAATTATTAAAAAATTCATTAAAATCACAGAATCAGACAACGCCAATAATGAAACAAAGAAAAAATTACACGATTAATTGCTTTCATACGTTTGATTTTTCAAAGAGCTCCAACTGCAGAATAAATTTTGTTTGCATTTGTTATTACACAATAATAATATATGTATATATATATATAATGTATATATTTACAGATCTGGTTCAGTGATTGCAGGAGTGAGTAAGTATTTTAAAAAAGTCCCAGCAGCCAATGAATACTATCATAAACGTCAAGATTAAAATTTGAACAATTCTAGATTTGATTGGGGAACAATTCATCGGTCTGAAGTTTAGGTTTGCACTTCTTTGTTGTGCCCTGAAGCAGCTGCTTCAGTTGCAGAATAGCCTTGGCCGGATTCAAATTCTTGGGGCATGTGTTGATGCAGTTGAGTATGGTGTGACAGCGATAGAGTTTCCAGGTATCGATCAACTGGCCCAGACGATGTTCGGCGGCCTCGTCCCGAGAGTCGATGATCCAGCGATATGCTTGCATTAGAACAGCCGGTCCCAGATACTTGTCACTGTTCCACCAGTAGGATGGACACGAGGTCTGACAGCACCCGCACAATATACACTCGTAGAGGCCATCGAGCTTACTGCGATCCTCGACCGATTGTAGATACTGCGCCCTGCCCAGCTCCTCGCTGATGTTGTCGCGCTGCAGCCAGGGCTCAATGGACTGGTATTGATTGTAGAACTCATCCATATCGGGCACCAGATCTCGCCTCACATACAGATGCGGCAGTGGATGAATCTTGCTTGTCCTGGCCACATTCGTATCGAGCTCGTGGATGCAGGCCAGCGTGTTGAGTCCATCGATGTTCATCGCACACGACCCACAGATGCCCTCACGACACGAGCGTCGAAAGGTCAGAGTTGGATCAATTTCGCTCTTGATCTTGATGAGTGCATCCAAGACCATGGGGCCGCACTCATCCAAGTCTAACTGGTATTTTTGCATTGTTGGCTGATCGCCGGGCTTCCAGCGATATATTTCCAAGGTCTTCATACGCTTCTCATTGAGCTTGAGCTTCGTCTCCACCTTGACTTGACGCATGCTGCCATCTTTGGGACTGACCTTGCCAGCCTCGTTATCCGGCTTACCCGTCTCCTTGTCCTTGTCCCCATTCGGACGATGTGACTGCTCATTAACCACATCCACATTGTGCAACGGGGATGCGAATGCATTTCTTCTAACCACTTGATTCCGCAATGCCACCTCAAAGTAGCTCAATCCAAGCCGATACATTCTATTCCCTCAAATGATCACAAAAATATTATTATTTTCAATTTGAACAATTTCGTTGCTTTAGTTGCTTGACTGAATTGAATTAAATATCACTACTAAACTTCTACAAGTACTGAAATCATTATTTAAAAAGTTGTCACATTATGTCATCAAATTTAAATGCTGACAAAACCACGATAAGTCAAGTAAGAATGCGCTAGTCGAGAGATCTCGACAATGAGATACCCTGCATGGAAACGGATGGAGCAATCGGTCGAATTATGCAATAAACTCGAGAATTTATACTTCAATTATCAAAGATATTACAGTTTTCTGCCTTACAATTTCTAAAAAGTTAATTAAACTTCCAATGACTATAAGATGAAGTCCTCACCTTCAGCATGCTTCAATGATTTGTTGAACCAACCAACTATCAACAGCAAATCAATGGCAAATCAGGCATTGAGTAACCCGACTAGAAATGAAGTGTGTGTTATTTTCTAAATTAAATGCAATTAAATGAAAATATGTTGTACAAGTACTAGATGCAAAGATGTAGACTGCTGCATGTAGACAAGGCCAAGCAAACAACAGCAACAACAACAAAAAAAACAGAAAACAGAAAACAACTTTAAATTTAAATGAAACAAACGAAGGGGCGTCAACACATGCAAAAGATCAGGGAGAAGTTGCCGCTGGTAGACTCGGGGAACTTGGGGCACTTGGGGCACATCGACTGTGCAGTGAATGAAGCCAACTGTGAAAACGGCCTCAGGGCCAGGTCTATAAATACTGCTATGTACGTAAGAGCAACAACAATAACAACAACAACAACAACAGCATCAAATGCGTCTGCCTCCTTCCTTTCCCTCGGCTCTTTTTCAAAATAAAACTCAACAAGATGTCAGCAGCAGCCTGCAGCTTTGGGATAGGGATCGAGATCTACGCGAAAAAGAAAATTACAAAAATGTTGTTGTCACTTGTCCCCAACAACAACAACAACAACAACAAAATGAAACAGCAATTCAACTCCGCTCTTTGCATCCCAGTCGCACATAACTTGCACTTTTCCTCTGCCTCATTATAGTCTTGCAGATGGCATTATAAATTTATCGTGAAATATGCAACGCATTGAAGGAGACGTCTCCAACCACACACAGCAGATACATATAGGCTCCATATATGTATACTTGTTCAGCATTAATAGCCAAGCTGATACTATCTGTCTCTCCCCGTTTCTAGCAAAATCTCTCAGTCTCCTAGCTTTAAATCCAGATCGTATATATCTAACATATAGCTGACACTGAATCTTCCTTGAATGAAAAACTATTTTTAAGTTTTCCATGTTATCTTAATCATCTTGTACTGGATTGCTTTAAATCGTTCTTTCTTAGAAAAAAGTATAGTTTTTTGTTAAAGTATTTTTGTATTTTCGATTTTTGGGCTTGCTCTAAATTGATTGATTTAGTGAGAGTAAACAATGCAAATTGGGTTTATTTATAACTATTATACAAATATATACAAAAATCACTCTAAAAACAAGAAACTAAATTAGATGAATTTATAAACTATCTAAACTATTTGTATATGTGAAATCATTAAATTCGAATGTTTCATAATAATAGAAGCAAAAAAGCAAATATAAAATGTAGGCTGGAATTAAGAAAAGAAAAGCAGCGATTCTTAGAGAGATGCAAATATACTTTCTGAACAATAAGTTGATTTACGCTTATTCTAAAATAAAGCGCGATGTTCATTTAATAAGTTGGTAAACATTGATCGGAAATGCTAATTAATCTGTAAACAAGTTATGAACAGATCGAAAAATTATATTATACAGCTGCTATAATAATTATTGGTTGACTTTAATGCGAAAACCAATAACAAAATTGGAATGTGATCATTCTATCTGATGCCGAAGAAAGTGAGTCATTTCTGTGATATTTGTCTATCTTGTGGAGTGTCGTGTGCCGAGCATGTGAGTTGCATTGAGATACAATCGTCAATCGATGGACGTCAGCGGGAAAAAGCCCGCCTGGATTAACTGCATCAAGTTGTTATGTTGTGTTGCGACGGAGCAGAGCAAAACATCAAAGCAGCCAGAGACAATTAAAAGACAATTCCAGCAATGCGCCTGTTTGCACCTGCCGTCTGCACATCACCAACAATGTTGTCAACGTTGATGATAACACTGTGCAACATCATTCCATCTACACACAATCTATTAATAATATACAGTAGCAAACAAAGTGGCACATTTTTAAAATTATAAAAATACTAAATCACAATTCAAATAACAATGTCATCAAAATAAATACAATACAAAAATTCATATATATATATATATATATATATATATATATATATATATATATATATATATAAATATATACAAATTAAAACAAAAAACAAAGCAATTTCGTGGTGTGTATTCAATTTATTTGCAAAGACTTCAAGCCGCATTCGAGCCGAACCGGTTTGAGCTTGAATTTTCCAGCTTTCTTCTGAAACTGCATCAAACCGTAAATTGAACCACATGTTATAAGCCGAACCTGCACCGTTTTGCTCTTCGAAAATATTATTGATTATTAATCAATAACATTTATTTATATACCCAAAACGGGATTCACTAACCGAACCGTTGTTAAATAATTGCCATGCACCATGCAGTATAAATGCTAAAAAGTTTTCAAACCATGTTGCATAGTGTTATTAAAAATAAATACTTGAGGGCAAATTATGTTGTTGTTGAGTTGTTGTCGCTGCCAAGGTGTTGACGCGCCTCACAATCTGGAGCAACAGCAGCAACAGCAGCAGCAGCAGCAGCCGCCATCACTCCTGCCCTCCTCCTGCACTACTCCTGCTCAGTTGCTCTCTCTCTCTCTCTCTCTCTCTCTTTCTCGCTTTCTATGCATAGCTCACAATCGGTTGAGTCATTTAAGCTGTTAAGCCGTCGTCGCTGACGCCTGACAGGTGCCATGATAGAGGCATTTGGCGTGTGCATTTCATCATACACACATCCACACACATACATTCATAGTTAGAGACGCGTGCTGGAATTAGTAGCAACTAGCAGACAAGATGCTATCCAATTCGAAACTCCACATTCGTATATCCATTGGCCTGGATCCATGATGAGCCAACGGACGACGGTCCTCTTCCTGTTGCGCTTCTGTTCAATTCTCTGCTGTTGAACTCTGTTCAGTTAATTTGATTGCCAGCGCTGCGTAGTGCGATATAAAAGCACAAGATTTATGGCTTTTAAATTTCATTCATGTTCACTTTGATTGTTTGTATGTATGCAGATTTAATAGCACTGCAAGCGGATGCACAAATCTTGTGTGCAATAATGCCATGGGAATTCAAAAATGCCCAACCACTGCTGGTGACCAAAGAAAATCCAATTACAAAGGTGCCATAACTTATATTTATTAAATCTGCATTAACTGACAGCATTTAACATCGTCACGACTGCAATTTTTTTGCAAGTATATATATATATATATATGTGTGTGTTTCTCTACAAATGCAATCCCAGAACAGGTCATGGGGTCAGCATTAAAGCAAGCAGGATTTGGCAATTGCCATTTGCCACACAGCTGTCAGTTATGTTTAGGATTTTTGCCACAAGCCTTTTGCTCATATATAAAAGTACATTTTACATGCATTCGAATTTTCTTACAGCACTTGAAATTGATATTCATATCTACACCCTTTATTCGTTGAATTAAGTAAAATGCATGCTTATTATTTGTCTGCAGAAATTTGAGTATTTTGAAAAATACTTCATGTTTAATAGTGATGACCATTAAATTCAATTTAAATATTTATTATCTAATCAAAGTATTCACTTTACAAGCTGTACAAGTTTATTTGCCATTTATGCGCATTTCAAATCTCCCGCTTCGAGTATAATTGGCGCAGGTATCGATAGTCAAGGTAAAAGTATCGCCAACTCCTGCTGCAACAAATATCAATATATCGATTAATTAATTGTTTACCTTTTGGTTTTGTAAACGCAAAGAAAGACCGCAAAAGCAAATATGATTGGATATTTCGAACAAATTGGATAGTTATGCAGTTGCAATGGACGCGTAATCGCTTATTAACTGGTTTAGCACTAGTTTGTCTGCTAATCGCAATATACTTGTACAGCCCTGCGGCAAAGCGTGGTAGGTGCTGGGATGATTATTATTATTCTTATTACTTGAGAGTGTTTTACGCAGGCAAGCAGAATGCAAGAAAGACACCGCCAAATCCCGAGGAGCCCTTGCCCCCCTCAAGTTCGCCACTGCTTCTGTTCAAGCAGGCGGGCATCTGCTCGGATAACAATGCCTGCAGTCAAATTGCCAGGTACAAATTGAGATACATTTGCACTTTGTGTATTTAAATGTGTATTTGTTTTGATAGAGAGACGCTCACAGTTGGTGGCAGTGTTGTGGATGCTGCTATCGCAGCTCAGCTTTGCAATGGGCTCATTGGGATGCAGAGCATGGGTCTGGGCGGCGGCATGTTAATGAACATTTATATGCACAACGAGCGACGGGCATTTAGCATACTCAGTCGTGAAATTGCGCCACGATCGCTTAACGCAGACAACTTTACGCAATTCCAGAACGAGGAGCAGCTGAAACAGTCTGGCTGGTCAATTGCTGTGCCCACGGAGCTGCTGGGCCATGCCTTGGCCCACGAGCGTTACGGCAAGTTGCCATGGATGTCATTGGTTGAACCGACGCTTCAGCTGTGCCACAGCGGATATGTCCTGTACAAGCATCAATACGATGCCCTTCTCTTGAACGAGCAGATGATTAAAAGCGATTCACTAATGCGTCAAATGTTTGTCGATCCGGCGACGGGTCACTTCTATCGCATCGGCAGTCATATTCAGCCGGCCAAGCAACTATGTGCCACCTATGGGCGCATTGCCCAGGAAGGACCATACAGCTTCTACAACGGATCACTTCAGCGGCAGCTATATGCTGATTTGCGCGATGTTGGCAGTGGGATAAGCAAAGCCGATTTGGCGAACGCACGAGCGGAGCTAAGGGATTCGATTGTGGTGCCGCTAGATGACTACGATTTGCATTTGACGCCACCACCGGGCAGCGGACATGTCCTGGCCCTCATCATGAACATACTGCATGCATATCGTGCCGATTTTGCAGCCACAGCCAAATTGGATGCCTTGCAAATCCATCGAATTGTCGAAGCAATGAAATTTGGTTTTGTTCAGCGTTGGCAGTTGGATGATTCGGCCGACGAACAGGTCAGCATTCTATCTCTCACTCTCTTGCTCTTTTTCTACCTGTCTCGTTCACACCAAGATACACAGCCATATCTAGCTGTCCCATTTGCTTTCATGCGTTCATTTTTAAATGGAAATCTCAAGAATGCAAATAGCGAATCTAAATATTAAGCAAATTATTTCGTTGAAACTTCAAATAGAACTGGACTTATTTTAAGGCAGTCGAGTTTAATCAAAGATCATAAAGATACCTCTATATATCTATATAGTCTTTGGTTTAAGCAAGTGCCACATATTAAAGTATAATCAGGCCATCGGTCGAAAGATGATTTCAAGTTCCTACAATAAAATGATATTAAAGTGTATAATTAAAGTCTGTTTTGAATCACAATTAATTCCAGTTTTCTTTTAACACACAGTTGCTGTCCAACATGACGAGCTACGAGTTTGCTGCGCGGCTTGCCAAACTGATTGATGACACCAGAACGTACAACGGCTCGGCGCATTATGGTGCAAGTTCAGAAATAGAGTCGCGAGATGAGCATGGCACATCGCATCTGTCGGTGCTGCACAACAATGATGCTGTTTCAGTAACCAGTTCTATCAACTTTTAGTGAGCTCCACTCGTTTATCACAGCCAACACACAAAGCTTATACTGCCAACCATTCCAATTGCTTGCAGCTTTGGCAGTGGACGCATGGGGAAGCGAACTGGGTTGCTGTTCAATAATGCCATGTCGGACTTCTCCATGCGACACCTGAAGAACTACTTCGATCTGCCGTATATGGATGGCAAAAATGTGATAACTGGCGCTGCTCGACCCATGTCATCGATGTGTCCACTCATTGTCACCGAGCGTTGGACGGGTGAGGTGCGTTTAGTTGTTGGCGCTGCTGGTGGCACTAAAATCATTACGGCCCTTGTGCCGCTGCTGGTACGCATGCTCTGGCAGCGCACGGACATCAAAAGCGCCATCGATGCGTATCGCTTCCATCATCAGATGCTGCCCAATGCTCTGCTCTACGAATATGGCATGCTGCAGTCAGATGTGGACAGCCTGCAGGCGAAAGGACATCAATGCGAACGCTATCGAAATCGTGGCTCTGTTATTTGTGGCATTACTCAAGATAACAAAAGCATCGCCATCAATTCGGATTATCGTAAAATGGGTGGCGTGGCTGGTTTTTAGACTAGAGTTCCTAGAGCTAATTTAAGATCGTTTTATGTATATATATATATATGTAATTCAATTAGTAATAGTTCCGTAAATATTTTAGAACTGCTTTAGCAAGTAAAATTTGTTTAAATTCCAAAATTGTTATTCCTGATGTAATCTACTGATGTAATTATATTTGAAAATCCTTCAAGCCTCAGTGGGTACCCACATAAATATTATTCAATATATTTAATTCATTTATGAAATCATTTTATTAAATTGTAATAATTGAAATTTGTTAGCTAGGCCATTTGTGTTTTAATCATGCAATTTAGATCTTGAGCTATTTATGTATATATGTATATGTATATATATATATATCAATGTATATAAACTACATGTAGGGTAAATGTGTGTGTGTGTGTGAGTTGTGCCTAAGTGAGTGTTATCAGTACAATTTAGTTGTATTTTAATTAGTTGATTTTGGATCTGGAGGCGTAGCTCTTTCTCTCGTTTTCGTCTTTAGCTCATTATCTATAGGAATTCGGTAGTAAGCTCTATTTGTTCTATGCGCTTTATATATGTAAGTCTGTGTGTGTGTGTGTGTGTGTATATATATATATAAAGGATTTATGTATATGCATTTACGTACATAGGTAATAGTAGTTTTAGTTTTGATAGTGTGCGTTTGTGAGTTGAAAGAGGAACCGTTTTCTTTTTATATTTTGTGTGAGTGATTTTGTGGTTGCCACAAAAGCTACACTTAATTGAGCACAAATGTCACAAGAATACATATATCCACATGATATCGTATGTATATAATTGCTAGGTGTATGTATGTATGTATGTATGTATGTAGATAGTATAAGTACAATAATATGTTTACAAAAAATGCAATCAACAAATATCAGTCTGTTGCCAAATAGCTTCAGCGCAACAACTCACATCTCTCTCTCTCTCTCTCTCTTTCTCTCTCTCTGTCTCTCTCTGTCTCTGTCTCTCTATCCGTATCTTTTTCTCAGTTTCCAATTTTGTCTCTGTCGCGGTTGGTTGGCTGGCTTTTGCTTAGGGCCAGGCAAAATTAATGCCAGTTAATTGATAAAACTTATTGTTGAACGGCCGGTAAAACTCTCGGAGTCGATCAATCGCATTTGTATCGATATGCGGATGGTTTCGTCCCTTGGTCTTGCCCAGACAGTGGGGCGTGGATCGTGCCTCCGATTTGAATAGGCACGGAAATCCTTTGGTGGCATTAAAATAGAAATGCTTTTCGGTCACCACACGCTTCAGGCCCAAAAAGTCCTGAACGCGTCCAATCTCATATGCCGGATCCATGATCAGTCTCTCGCCGCTTATGAACAGCAGCTGCGATAGCGGAAAGTAGAGTAGCCAATGCTCCAGGAAACGGGCATAGACACCAATCTTGACTGGCCCCCAGTTGGTATCCACCACCGAATAGCTGCCATTGACAAACGCCAGCTGCTCGAACCGCTTCATATCGGCCTTCTTGCTGGCCGCCTGCGTATAATCCGAAATGGCCCGAGTCACCGGATCACGCACCACGATCAACAATCTATAAGCATATCATACAATGGAGTGAGCAAATTTCAATTAACTCATAGACAGTGGTTCAAGTATATTAAGAATACTTCAAGTTCAACGGAAATGGAAACCAAATTGAAGAAATTTATTAAAACAAAAAAACCAAATAAAAAAATTTTACAACAATCAAAATAAATGTACTACAATCGATTCTAATAGTATATGAATATATATATGCATATATATTTTACAGATCAATTGATTGAAGTTATCTTGGCTTCAATTCAACTCTATTAAATAATATAATAATATATAATATAATAATAAATATATAAAGAGTGAAGTGTTGGGAGATTGAGAAGATATATTAAACAAAATTACCAAACTATAAAAGTATCTAATTAAAAAGTATACTTAAAACTAAAATTAACAAAATCTTGGGCAGCAACAATTCCAGAAAATCATATTAAGATTTGCACTGTTTAAGTCTAAATAAATTACTATTTAAGCTTGAAAAGAAAATATTGAAATTAAAATTAGATCGGATAGGATCATGGTCAGAGAGCAGAGATTTCTTTCTTGAGTCCCCTCACATCTTTTAGAGACTTATTTGTGTTTAACTTACTTGGTGGCGGTGTTCATGTGATAAACGCGTTGCGGCACCTCCTTTGTGACAAAATAGCTGGGCGTCTTCTCCATGGTGATCTGGCCCTCGATGGTGTAGGGCATGTGATGGCGATACCAGCGCAATCCGCGCTGATAGTGCCTGTCGAAGAAGTGCACCTCGGAGCCGGCGGCTCGCACATCCGGATGCAGTCGAATGAACTCGAGCAGGGCCCGCGTTCCACTCTTCTTCACGCCAATGATGAGCGTGTCGGGCAGATGGCGGGATGGGCGCAATCCCTGTTGACGCAACATTTGATATTTGGGTGCACCATCGACGCTGGCAAGTCCAGCGCTAAAATCAATGGTGCTGGCGGTTGTACTCAAATTGGTGGCAGTGCTCACGCCATTGGCACTGGCATTGGTGGCAACAACATCAATCGCTGTGCTTGCCGCTGTGGCCACAGTGGCAACTGTGTCGCTATCATTGCGCACCTGCAGCATCAGCAAATTGCTTAGGGTGCTCTGGTTGTGGAAAAATGATTGCTGATTGAATTAGATAATTGAGTTGGCTGCGCGGCAATTGCAAGACTCACCTCCTGCAGGCTGCGGCTGATGCTGGCCAGGATGCAGGCATTGAAGCTGTACGAGAAGTAGACGAGCGTCACACAGACAACCAGGGCAATGGCCAGATTGCGGCTGCTCAGATTTAGATTGTGGCACCAGATGCTCCCATACATTGCACACACTCACACACACACACACACACACACACACACAGAGAGCGAGAGAGAGAGAGAGAGAGAGAGAGTGTTGGTGTTGATGTTGGTATCAGTCTCGGGACATGTCCTTCTCTGTGCCCAGTTAAGGTGTAATGACTCCAAACTGCAACATGTTGACCATCATTGTTAGCCAGCTATGGATTATGGGATTTCAGTATTTTCAATGCATCCGTCAGCACCAGTTCCAGCTTCAGTTACACTGCACTGCAATTGCAATTGCAAAACTCTTGCGCAGTTCCTTCTTTTCTGTTGTTGTCGTCCCAGCAAAATTCCGGAAGTGATAGCAGCCAGGCAACCAAAATTCTCTGTTACTGGGTCGCCACCCGCGAGGCATCGGCGCAAACGCGAGAGCGAGCTCTCTTTCCTCTCCCTCTCACTCTCTCTCTCTCTCTCCCCCACCTTCTGTCTCTCTCTCTCTCTCTCTTTCTCTCGGTGTGCTTGCACCCTGCACTTATTAAATTTGTCTGCAGTACTATGGTTCCACAATCAAAGTTGTGCATCAACATTTTGGAATATTTATTTTAAATGTAAAACTAAAAAAAATAAAAACAGTATGTTTTTTATATTTATATTAAAAATACAACTATTTCTTTGAGAATCTACGATTTTTTAAAAAAATGTAATCAATTTTAAAAATCAACTTTGACCACTGTGCAGCTTACGCAACGACGACTGCCTCAAAATATGCTTTGTCTGCCGGCCCCAAAAGGTAGGCAACATTTTTGTTAAGCACACTCGCTGCCTGTGACGTCACACACTCGACTTACATTCGCGTAAATTCTAAAGATAAGAATATAATACTAGTAAGCATATGAAGTGATCCACTGCTGAGGCATTATAGTATAAAACAAAATGAAATTATTAAATAAATTAGAGTATTTATTATATCAATTTTCAAATATCATAGGTATTAATTCGTTAAATACTCACTTTGGTTTTAAATTTAAACAAGGAAAAATACCTTCAACCGATTGTGCATAATTAAAATATAGGCTTACATTTATATAAAAATAATTATGGCATCATTCTCACCAGAAATATTGTCACAGGTCGCATTTAAACATACAATTTGTAAGCTTAGGAAAAAGGATTTTAGGCTCTCAAAAAAAGTTAAAAAACTGAACAATAAGAAAGCCATAAAACCATAAGCGATGATTAAAGTGTTCTAACTCATATTTATTATTGTATTTTATATATATATATATAAATCACAAAAATACAATAATAAATATGAGTTTATATATATAAAAAACGATTATTTTTCCTTACATCAAATTGTATATAACTTTGTAATCTGTTCAGCTTTCCAAAAGTTTAAGTGTGAAATGAATTGAACACTCGTTTTTAAAATAAAAACGGCTCTAAGGTGATAAGCAACAATTATTTTCAAGTTTAAATGCAAAATCAATCTATGGTGATTGAACATAAGAATCAAATCATATGAATATTAAATAAGAATGGTGAACAAGAGAAAAAAAAAGAACATTTTATCTACAAAAAATCGTAGTTCCAGGAGAGTTGCTAAAAGTGTTGAGTTGAGGTAATCTCTCTGTTTTTTCTCTGCACATGCTCTCTCTCTTTCTCTCTCTCTCTCTCTCTCTCTCGCTCCGTCTCTCTCTCTGTCCATCTCGAGAAACTGTGCTCAAAAGTAAACAAACTGATAACCCACACCTGCCCCATTCCCACCCCCAAGCCGAGTGTTGAGTAAGACATTGCCCTTTGCCCATTGCCGATTGCAGATGTCGAGTGGCATGCAAAGCGTTTGCTCCACTTGAGCTGGGGCAGCACACACTTTACACGCTCCCTGGAGAGCTTTAAGTGTTGTCACTTATACAATATTAGATTAGGTTCGTTATCAGCAGAGTTTTTGCCGAGCTTTTAATGTTCAAATCGATGGTCATGAATTTGAATTCGCCACCGAGTTGGCCATATCAGTTGGGCATCCGTTTATCCACATGGCTGGCTGGGCTCAGTTAACGTGGCTGGGGATTAGTCATCATGCAGGTGCGCCACCTTTGTTTGGCTTTATCTAATCAGCTAAATAGCCAATCGGCCAACTGATTTAACATTCACTACTATGCTACTCTTAGTCGCAATTTGGATGTCTCCGCGCTCGTCTCGCACAAATGCCAGAAATATCTGAATTTTAGCAAATTATGCATTCATTGCCTTCAACAATTTGAAATTGAAGTCAAACATGTCGAATTTATGGAGCACCTGTGTCCAAAAGTTTTTTAAATACGCGCCCAGCTATGTGGGTAGGTACTCGTAAACTCGTGAATCATGCGCGAATGAATCATATTTAATAATCAATTAATCTTAATCTCTCCGCCCGGCCCAAATTGCGCCGCAGTCTGCCTATGCTTTCTGCCCTGTGGACTGATCTTTGGGTACACGATGTGCGCGTTTGTCGCCGAACGGAGCACTCAGGGCGATCTCATCGACTATGGTCCACTGATATTGGGCGCCTCTGTCGCAATTCTCAGCGCCCTGGCGATGCTGGTCATCAAGTATATCAAACACTGCATTGTCTACTGGCAGCCATGGCTTCTGTTTGTGGCCGGCGCATTCAATTTAATCTCCAGCTGTTTCTATTTCGCCGATGGCTATGGTGAGTTGGCATCCCATCCAATGAAATTGATTTGTTTTAATTGATTGCCACAAAGTGGCAAACAAACAAAAATATTGATTACAATTTGAATGAAGCGCAAGCATTTTGAAATGAGTTTAATACACACTTTTCGACAGTCCACGAAAATTACTTTAAAACTACATTTTCAAACTACTTTTTTTATAAATGAAAAACAAAAAAAAAAAACTTTAAATCTATATTTCTGTATTTTCTATAAAAGTAACACCGAAATAAGTACTTAAATTGAAAGAATCGAAAAATTACCGAACAAAAAAATGAACAGAAAATACTTTAATTACATTTCGATCGATTTTATATATTTAATAAATGCAAATATAATGTTCAATTAAGTTTTGGTTCGTTGAGAAGACATCAGAGGATTAAATTTGATTATAGTGTTTATCTCTATGTGCAAAAGTTGCTTAATTAAATTTACATAACTCGACATAACTTGACTTGCTTTCTATCTAGTTGTTTTATATCTGCCTCTGATATGAGTTTCACATTTTTATTTATTTATTTATTTTGTTATTTGTTTCTTTTTTTTTTGCTTATGCTACGCAGATCACGTGGGCGCTTATATGTCGTATGTGGCGCACAGTTTGACATTTGTGGCCGGGTATGGATTTCTGCACACGATCAGCTCAAAGGTCAGTCGATCGATGATGATATCCGGCTGCTGCAGCTGCTATCTGCTGGGCATTGCCTCGGCAGTCAGTCTGATTGGGTCCACATACGTGAAGAACTTGAAACAGTATGCGGGCCAAGCGGCAACCAACGAGCAGCTGACCGATGGCATCTATGTTAACTTTGCCGCAACGTATCTGTGCATAGCTGCCGTGACCTTGGCCATTTTGATCGGTCTGAAAGTGCTGCACGTTCTGGGCACGGTGGACATGACGAACAGTCTCGATAACGATTTACGGATTGCGAACGCAAATGGCAGCATCTTTGAGACGCGTGCCGATGTCATCCAGCGGCTGCAATTCTTCTATGTGATCAAGAATCAGCAATGGCACATAACTTGCCTGCTGCTCTTCGTCGAGGCCATTCAATATGCGCTGTTTATCTATTTGGTGTTCTGGTTTTCGTTGAACGATGCGATGCGATTGGATGATTTGGCGCACATTGATTCCATGTTTTGGGTGATATTCGCTGGCAGCATTCTGGCCATTGTCTGTCTGTGCTTCTACTCGGCCAAGGTGCATTTTGTGAGCATGCAACTGTTGCTGCTGCTGCTTACGGCATTGGCAATGATTATCTATGGTGCGACCGGTTCAAAGTTCACATTCTGGCTGCTCCTGGTGGTATTTGGCATGGCCTACTCCTGCCTACAGATTGTATTGCTGGAGGTGACCCACTTACGATTCACCGAATGCATCATCTCAATCTCGTACGGCCTCAAGCTGCTTAGCACCAGTGTCGTCTATTACTATTTCGTTAATAATGCGAACAACTCGTATTTCTATGCCAAGGATGATAGCACACTGATCGCCCAGGGATTCGTGTTCATGATAATTACATCGCTGCTGGCCCTCGTCGTTGGCATGAAGGTGCCGCGTACGCATCACAGCAAACTGCTCGATATACAGCACGAGGTCTATGGCATTATCTTCATGAAGCATCAGATTGAACAGTTAAATGTCCGCTGGCTAAACGATGGCACCATTCCAACAATCAGCCAGTGAATCGGCCACAATCATCTTCCTTGATTTGTTTCTCTTCTTTTTTTGTTGGTATTTTCTCTGTTTTGTTTTCTGTTTTTTTATTTTTTTTTATTTATAAGTTTGTACTATATTAAAGCTAGTTTTTAACGTTTATCGCTTATCGCTTAATGCACACAATCTGAACGGCGGCCGTGTGATCCCGACAGAAGTGGCTGGCACAGGCCGAGACATTGGCACAAGGCGTCACCTGATAATGATGCTCCTCTGCAACAAATAAATGCACACTCATTAATTAATTCATCTGTCGAATATAAAAAAGCAACAGCTAAAAATTAAACTAACTCTTCTGAAATTGTTACGCGAATTTATAACTAGAATTTTGAGAATTTTATCCAGTTCAAGAAGTCAATCGTCGACCGTCGCAAGGAGTCAGTTTCATCAAGATAACTTCAAAGCAGAGCGACAAAGGCTATATCGGCTCTAACGGAAATGCTGATCAAGAATATATATATATATATTTAAATAAACACCAACTTCTGGCATACGAGAAGAAAAGAAATGAGTTATTTTGGTTTCGTATAAGCTGCCACCAATTATAACGTCTCTCTGATCACTGAGCAAATTTATATATATATATATATGTATACATATAATATATAAGCATATATTACTGGATAATAAGATGTCTGCAACTACATTATATTATTCCATATAATTAAAAAAAAACTTAATATTTCGACTATGATTCGCAAATTGAACGTTAATTTTACAGAGCCGTGTGATAAACTCACCCAGCTGCTGCATAAAGTTGTGCAGCGTATCCACGTTGCGCACAGTGCTGGCCAGCAGCATCTCGCAGCGATTACCACGCAGCTCGTAGATGTAATCGAGTGCTTTGAGCAGCGCCGAGAATTGCGTATCATCGTAGATAACATCGGCGGCCAGCAGAAGATCCGGCGATGGATATTCTGTCCAGGGGAACTCACTGATCTGATTCCAGCGCAGTTGGGCACATTGCGGCTTCCCCACATCGTCTGACTCAGGGAAATTAAAGGCAATGTTGTCGCGCATAAGTTGGACGCAAGCTTCGCTGCCATCGGTGATGAGGACTTGTTGGACGGGCAGCTGCAGCGATTTTTGCTTCAGCAATATGCCCAGCAGCCCAGCTCCGGCGCCCAGTTCGAGCACATTTTTGTCCTGCAGCAAATTGCGATGCTCCAGCAGATAGTCGGCCAGGGCCAGAGCGGCCTCCCAGGTACACAGGCCGGTGGTGCCTTCGCTAACAAAGCTATTCGATTCGCGCAACGTGATCTGCTCATGGGGCTGGAGCACATAGTGCTTGTAGGCATACGCGGGTGATGAATCGCCAGCGGATTCGTTAATGGTGGCCTTGGCCAACTGGCCGCATAGACTATCATAGATGTCGTCGTGCAGCTCCTCGTGATCCTTGAGGACGTGCATCAGACGCTTGACGAACGCCTCCTGGTAGCTGCGACGCACCGGATACCGTTGATTCAACGGATGCGCACAGGTCGCCGCTATCAAAGCACGTTGCGCATCCAGTTCCAGCGGCAATTGCAGCGTCTACAAATAAACGAGAGGCAGTGACTAATTTTATTGTCAACATTATTTGAACACACACACACTTACCGACCAGGCCATTTTGTTGACGGGATAGCAGCAGAGGAATTGCTGCTGCAGTTTGCCAAACATGTTGCTCTCCATTGCCTGAACTGAAATTAAACTTAAATGAAATTAAAATTGCGAACGAAAGGCCAAACGCCAATGTCAATTGATCTGGCAGCCCTGGCACCAATCATTACAACCAGCTGGCAGCACAGCTGTTTTTCCCTTACACTTTGCACACTTGCCAGATTCTCCATCCAATTGGTAAGCAAACAATTTTTGGAAAGGTTCAACGTGAAATGAATGGATTTTTTTTGATTTGAATTGATTTGCATTGAATTGATTACCATTCGTTCGATTGTTGTATCTCACCCAAAAGTACAGACATGACTGACATACAAATTACACATGTAATGTATATAGAGCATCTGTAAGTCTGGCAAGTCTGTTTGAAGATGCAAAGATAAGCGCACTGCGTGTGGCAAGACTAATCTTATCTACTTCAAACATAGATAGTAAAACCTAGATTCTTATTGTCGTTTTTTTTTCTTTATAAATATCAATAAAATCAAATTTACTTTCTTAAGACTGTTCTTTCGAGATCATATAAGCAAAGCGTGAAAAGATACAACATACATACATATGAATGTCATACATACACACATACATACAGCAAGCAATCAAGTTAACACATACATATAAGTAGTAACTGCACAGCGCTGCACCAATAGAGGGCGCCACTTGCCATTTAATAACTGCTTTTGACAAAAGTTCTCCACACAATTTACATACACAATCACACAACACATGCACACACACACACGTAAAGGGAAACAAATGTTACGAAATCAACAGTTGATGTTTTGGGTCAACTGTACCGCATGCAGTATAAGAAAAAACAAAGTTTTTTTTTTTTGGTTTTTTCTCTAGAAAAAACCGTTTATTTAAGTTCTGGTTTTTGGGCTTCATGTTATCTTGGACTGGCTGTACGGTATTGAATGGTAAGGCGTGACTTTTAGCGAGTGTTTCCATACGAGACATCATCAGTGTTAAAAAGGCGTCCATCTTCCGGCCTAGTTCAGTCACCAAGACTGTGTGTTGCTGAATAATTTCCAGCATGGAAGTGGCTTCAGGGGTACAGGGCAATGGTGTTTTCTGTTCCTCCTGTATCTTCGGCTGAGGGCTGCGGAGCTGCTCCTCCTGCTGCTCGACGCAAAGCCTCTCCTGGAACCTCTCCAGATGCCTCTCCGCTGGGTTGTGTGTGTGTGTATTGTATTTTAAGACAGCAATTTACTTTCTTTATTTTTTTGTTTTGTGTGTTTTGTGTTGAATGCAACAAACAATGCAATTTCTTGTTAATAATGTGCAAATCTGTTTTGTGCACTTTTGGAGGGGTAATTTGTCGGTTATATGCATATATGAATATCTTGTAATTCCCATAAACATTTATGTTAAGTTATTTAAGTGTACATATTTAGAATAATACATTTATCGCGCATTATATGAATGCATTACATTTAAAAGTTGATTATTGAACCCGGGTTGTTTTTTGTTTTCTTTTATTCTTTTTTTTTTGCGTTTTACTTGGTTTGTTTTATGTGCTCAATTTGTCGGATGTTTCGCGTTTTTTTTTTTTTTTTTTTTTTTGATTTTTGTTTTTGCCTAAACGTATAAAATGCATGTAAATCTAAAACTTATTTAATAAACTACCACGCCCAGTGCGGAGGGCCAACCAAACGTAAATATATATGTTAAGTTTGCGTTTCCTCGAAGAACAAATTATGTAATATTAGGTGAAAAAATAAAAATTATATGTATATACATATATATATATATATTATATATGTATTAATATAGATTCTGCGTTATGTGTACTCATTTCTGATGTGTGTTCTTTGTTTGTTTGCTGTTGGCCAAATTCGGTGTTGTTCATTTGACCCGATCGCGCGGCATCCACGCTGCGCCGCATTGGCGACTGGAGTACGCAGCTGCATCAATCATTGGCGCCGCGTCGCCGCCGTCCAAGTAGCCACAACGGGAGGAGTGGGAGGAGCTGCCGCCACTCACTCGCCACAGATTGTGGCTGTGCGCGCATTGGCAGCTTTCCTCCTCCGCCTCCTCATCATCACTGGAACCCTTGTTTGTTGGAGACGGCATCGTCGCGCCAACGATTGCCAAATGCAGCCAAATCCTCCCTGCAGCTGCTGGGTATCTGTTGTCGCCAACTGGCAGGTACAGCGTGGATATCGAGCGATGCACAAACTTATCAACTAATATACATTTATAATAATAGCAATAGTAATTAATAGCAATAATAATAATAAGCATAATCATAATAATAAATGTTACAGGGTATTCATTATATTATTCCATAGATTATGTTTGCTGTTTGTGTTTTTGTTGTTGTTTTCTTTCTGTGTTTTGTTAAAACAAATACAATTCTACAAATATAAGTTTACATATATATATTTATATTTATATTTATGTAAAATGAAATCAAGCCCCAATTGACGAAAATATGTTTGTTGTTTTGTTTTTCGCCCATAAACAAAGTGTTTCTCTGAGGAGAATCATGTACAATTTTAGATGAAAATGATGTTTGTTTGTTTGTTGTTTGTAATTTGCTGTTGCTATTGTTGTTGTTGTTGTTGCTGCGTTTGTTGAATATTTGCTGTTTGTTGTTGGTTGGTCCTTAAGCACGCTCGCCACGAATGCGACGCGCCAACTGTATGTCTTTAGGCATAATGGTCACCCGCTTGGCGTGAATGGCGCACAAGTTGGTGTCCTCGAACAGGCCTACCAAATAGGCCTCAGAAGCTTCCTACAATGAGCGTCATAAGCGCCAATAATTTTAGCAATTCGCAATTGATAAGGATGGTAAAGGGTGAGGTGAATGAAGATTCAGGTTCAGGTTCAGGTCCAGCTTACCTGTAGAGCGCCAATGGCAGCGGACTGGAAACGCAAATCTGTCTTGAAATCCTGGGCGATTTCACGCACCAAACGCTGAAAGGGCAACTTGCGGATGAGCAACTCCGTCGACTTCTGGTAGCGACGGATCTCACGCAGTGCCACGGTGCCGGGACGATAACGATGGGGCTTCTTCACGCCACCGGTGGACGGTGCCGACTTACGAGCAGCCTTTGTGGCCAGCTGCTTACGTGGAGCCTTGCCACCAGTCGATTTACGAGCGGTCTGCTTGGTACGGGCCATCTTTGCTAATTACTTGATGATGCTGCTGCAACAAGAAAAGATGAAAGATGAATTTCAACACGATGAAGCGCGATTGCGACGCTCAGCGCCGAAGCGCTGGCGCGCTACTGATGCGGATGATGGCAACCAACTATGGATGGTTGCATGCAATCAAAGAAAGAAGCACAATAACAAAAAAAAAACTGAGGGTTGAAATCTTTGGCTAAAATAAAGCAACGATAGCAGCGGCGGCAGCTGCAGAAATTTTCCTTTTATTCGTCGTGCTGTTTGCTGCTGTGCGTTTTCCTTAGCCTATTTTGGTTTGGTTTGCGCTGCTGCTTTCTGGGAACACTTCATAGCTTCCACTTCAGTTGCGACGTCTGCTGCTGCTGCAGCCCACAGCAGCTTCGAGTGCCCACTTGAGCAGCCCCATTGTGTGAGTGCATACTTTTTTTTCTCCTCTTCTTCATTTTCTGTGTGTGAGTGGTGCCTGTGCCTTGAGCTCGGCATGAATCGCTATTTTTCTTTTCGCCCCAGCCTAAATACGACCCCTGCTTGCCTGCCTTTCTTTTATTACTTTTTGTACCCTGAACCCATTAAAAATGGGTAAAATAAAAAACAGGGTATAATGGTTTTGTGCAAATGTATGTAACAGGCAGAAGGAAGCATCTCCGACCCCATAAAGTATATATACATATATTCTTGATCAGGCTCAACAGCCCAGTCTATATAGGCATGTCCGTCTGTCTGTATAAACACGCAAATCTCAGAGACTATATGTATGAATATTCACTTGTTTATCGGAAGACCTGCTCACATTTTGGTGCAAAACTTTTAAAGGGTTATTTTCCAATAAAACGAGAATATATTTAACAACTGGGTTCAGGGCATATCATAGTCGAGCTCACTCGACTACAGCACTTTTACTTGTTTTGTTGTTGTTGCCACTCAAGCGTCGTGAATTTTTCGTTTTGCTTTTTTATGCGAGCAGATCCAATCATGTTGAAGTAATGAGTTGTAGTTTTAAGCTTTAGATCTACATACCACACCACACCACACCACACACACTAAACGCATTCGCTTGGAAAATGTGCACATGACTTTCTAACAACAACAAACGGAAAACGTGAACGATCGCAATAAATTTAGACAAAATTATCGATACTTTCAGTTGCAATGAAAACTTTAACTGTAAATCGCAAATTCTGTATTAGATTTATAGTTACCAGAAATAAGAAATTATAGACTTGACAGGTATTAAATCCAAGACTTCTTATTGTTAGTCGGCTAAAAGTGGAACACCGACTCACCAAATCTAAGCGCGTATTAAGATCACAACTTGAAATATATTACAATAAATAAATTTGACGAATCAAATCTTCAAAAGTAAATTTTCAGTTAAAAATGATTACAAACAAATCAAAGCCAACGTTAAAATTAATGTATTTACACAAACATATACACATACATTCACACACACACACACACACAGCTTGCTTGCAACTGCATAAAAGACATAATTAAGGCATTGATATCATTATGTCAGCTATTGATGGATGAAACGAATGTGTATTCGTAAATAGCTCAATACAGATAAATGCATGTGCATGTGTGGTTGTACAGGTGCTTTTTCTTATTGTGCTTTGCATATTTCATAATATTGGTAGTAGAGCATTATCAAGGAAAAGTAAAATTCTTGGCGCCCATTTGAGCGCCACATGTGGAAACGGGCTGGCAATATTGTATCACAGTAATAGAAATAGCAATAGATATCAGAGAGCGAGCGAGCGGGAGAGAGAAAAGTACCCAACCGAAAATTGCGTCGTTCGCATTTAACGCGCGTAAAGCAATATCGCCGCTGTGGTGTGTGTGCGTGTATGGAACAGCTGCATCACATCTCAATGCCAATATATATTTAGGCATGAACATACCCATTGCAGCTATTGATGTAATGCGACATATGCATATATGTATAACAAAATTACAGTAATTTCGATTAGAAGCAGACGAACAAGAGAAGAAAAACAACACGAGCACAATGACACACACACACACACATACAGAGGCAGAAGCGCACGCTCAAAAGCTGATGCGCATGTCTCACTAACAATGTGTGTGTGCGTGTGCTGTGTATGTGTGCGTTTGCTCACCGCCAGTATACACATGCACACACACACACACATACCTGACTAAACAAAACGAAAATAACAATAAACGTTGGACAGAATCAAAATGTGATAACGTCACATTTAAAAGTACAGCATAAATAATTGAACAAAACAAAAAACACAATGAAAACTGCGCGCCCTTTTTATTTGTTCGTTTGCTGCTGGCGAACACTAACTTTTTGGGTTAAGCAAGTATGTTCGTAATTGTTGAAAACTTTTTTTTTGTGACTTCGACTTGTCTGCAATAGCCGCCATTTTGAAAAGGCAACAACAAGTACACCACAGCACACCACACTAAAGTGTGCCCGTGCATCCGTCGTGCAAACGAAGTCACCATCAATCGTCGTCGTCGTTGTCGCCGACGTCGTGCATTGTGTGTATCCACCAAGACAAAAAAAAGGTAAGCTGCCGCAAAAAAAAAGTGGGGCTCCGCATACCGCCCAGCGGAGCCCCGAATAACACAAAACAATTATAGCTGTTGCACACACTAATTCTGACATCAATTGCACTTTCACCGTTTAACACAAACACCAATGTAGTCAAAAAAAAAAGAATTGGCTATAAAAAATGTCTGGCACACTCACCGTCGCAAATTTAAATATTATTTGTATGCTTTTTACGAATTTGTAGAACTCCGACTGATTTCTACGAGTGACGATTTCACAATGATTTGATATCAGTTTACTGGCAGCAGTTTGTAATCGATATACACAATCGATCAACAATATATCGATATTATTCTTGCATTTCAAATCGAGTACGATAGATCGAATTAATCAATTATATTGATTAAAATACATCGATACAGCACGATAACTTATTGTGGCGGTCTACTTTCGATTATCGATTGTCACTAAATATTGCACAACTTTTGAACAAAATGCTGCCTACTATCGGTAACAAAAATAACAACGAAAGATGGGTAAAGAAAGTAAAAGGTACAGCAAAAACGTAGATAGACACTGTTTCCTTGACGATTACAATAGTTTGTTGAATGTATTTATTTGCAAAAATCAACATCGCAATTAAATTGTAGCACTCGATGTCGATGAATACAAATTGATGCTAATTTTGCATGCTGTGATTTTTGGCAAATGCGGTCATACAGTTTTTGTTTGTATACAGAAACAGAAAATCAGTTTTGAAAAGAGTAAGTAAATCGCACTAGAGATTAACTTTTTAAATAATAAAAAAGAATCAAAACAACTGTAACACATTTAAGTGAATCAATTGCCAGACGTAAAGCGCAAGCGAGAACTCCAGTTGAAAAGTCGCCCGGCAGACGAAACCTTGAATATGTTTGACTATTTCGAGGAAAACATGAGCATTGAGGTAAGTAACGGTGTTATTTATTATTTTGTTTAGTTAAACATACTTAAGCATAATAATTGCACACACAGAGACCAACTGCTAAAATGTACTACGCACTTGTGAAGCTCTCACGACTCGAGGCGCAACGACAGCAGTTGCGCGAAAAGCATCTGAAATTCGAGCTGGAGAGATTCGAGTGGGCGAAGGAGGTGGACGACAGGCGCCTAGCGATTGAGGAGCAACGGGTGAAGAATAAGCATGAGGAACGCATGCTCGAAATGCAACTCAAATACAAAAAATAAACACTAATTGTATGACATTTTTATTTCCGTAAACATATTTATTTTTTTGTTTTAGTGCACTTCAAATCACAGTAAGACCCGATTTCCATTGTTGGTCATGGTTTGCCATCACAAACTGTTTAAAAGTAGCTAAGCAGTTTAGTCAATTTTGACTTGCTTTATTAAAGTACAAACATTCTCACATATGTATATAATTATATTTGGTTTATCCTTAGTTTTAATGCAATTTATTTAAATTATTATAGGACCACTTTTTGAATAGAATGCTTATTTTTTATAATAATTATTAAACAAATATACTTTAAGTATAATATTTAGTTTGGTTTATCTTTGATTATATGACTGAGGAATACATTTTAAATATATGTATTTATACTCCATCTGTAATTATATTTACAAATGTATATTGTGTTATGCAATAATTATTAATTAGCTATAATTATTATTAAGAATATATTTTCAATATATTATATTTTTAATTTAATAAATTCGGTTCTATAACAAATATTCCTAAAAAATAATATATATATATATATATATATATATATATACAAATAAATACAATTGCAAACCATGAATACTTTATTTTTAAACTTGCGAACCGATTCAATTGAAACAATAATATTTTTAATCGTTATTTTTAAATGAGTTTTGAGGGGTCAAATTATTGAAGTGAGTTCTGCTGAAAGGTACATTTTGGTACATTTGTCCCAAACACCGACCATAGCTGTATGTTAAGCAGCAATCATAACATGCTAATACAACAGTGCCATTTTGAGTATAACATTTGAAGTGTACCCGCCTCTGTCTATAACATAGACCCTGTACTCAATAATCGGTTACACTGGCCGCGGGTCGGTTGTGTTTTGTTTTGCTGCGCGACTCGGAAGGTATTTGAAAGCAGAGTGCAACGGATATACATAGTTAAAATTGTATTGTTTTATAACCAGAGCGAGATTGCCACTAATTTTCCATTTAATTCAAATAATTTTTTTGTTTTTGTGTTATTTGTTTATTATTGTGCGACTGTGCAGGTGTGCTTGTGTCAAATTGATCAGCGTGCGCGCCTTTGTTTTTACTGTTGTTGTTGTTGTTGTATTCGTGTAGGTCAAGGTGAGGCTGCTGCTGCAAGCAGTAGGCTGAAGGCGGCAGGCAGCGCAGCCAATGACAGGCGAGCATGCATCCAATACAGGCAAACAGCTGCCCAAAAAAGCACCGTTAGTCGCGCTGTTGTTTTGTGCTCTGCGTTCATTGAGCGCAATTTGTTTCCAAATTCAAGACGCATAAGAACGGTGTCAGCAGGACAACACAAACACAATTCTAGTTTGTGTGTGTGTGTGTGTGTGTGTATGAAACCTTAAAAGTCAATACATATGCATTTGTTTTTGCACAGTTGCTTTATATTTTACTCTGGGTTTAAAGATGTGCAAACAAACAAAAAAAAGCTATTCAAAAATAGCTTAAAAAAATGTCTCATTTTTAATTTTATTTAGGTGCAATATTTTCGTTTAATCAACTTTATCAGCTCGATTTATTAAAAAAAAAACTAAAAATGTTGTGCTCTTTACATATTTTATTTATTTGCGATATTTATGAATAAAAAAAATGAAAAATAGCTAAAAATAAAAAATAAGAATAATTTTTTGTTGATTTATTTACACTATTTTCGCTTTAAAATTAAATTAGCTCGAATTAATTCGTGCTGCGGCAATCACCGTATTTAGCACAAGCACACATACACACACATAACATACCTATGCACACACACACACACACACACACAGAAGTTTATCTCCTTTGTTGATAAGCTTCAACACCAACGATTAACAGTTAACTATTGCAGTGTAGAGTGAATGGCCGCAAAATACTTAACATCGATTCTTGCACAATAACAAATAAATAGCAACAACAACAACAAACAAAAACAATTAGAATAAGAATAGCAAGAAGAAGAGAACAGCAAAGGCAGACAAAACGGCGTATCTACAGCAGCAGCGTCGCCTGTTCAGCGGCGGCGGCGTCGGCGTCGGCATCTTGGGCGGCAGCGGACCCATGAAACAACAACAGCCGCCGCCACTGCCGCAGACGCAGCCGCCCCCGCTGACGCAGGCAGCAAACGTTGGCGCAGCAGGAGCAACTGAGAGCAATATTGTTGTCAATACCATCAGCAGCTTCAACAACAACAACAACAATAACAGCAGCAGCGCTGTTGAGGCGACTTCCAAGTCTCGTCCAGCTCTATATCCAAAACGTAAGTAATACTTTTAGTAGGCTAAGAATCCGAAAGGAATCTGGGAAGGATGCGACAATTTGAATTTTTCGGAGTTCTAAACAGAAACTTGAGCGATAATAGTAACGAAGTCTGGCAAATGGATTCGATTATAGATGACAAATGATCTTAATCTGATCAAAATTAAAAACCAAAAAAGAAGCATTTTTGATTTTATGTATAATTTAAACTTTAAGCGGTGCCCGATTTGAGTCGAAACCGAAAGGAATTATTATAGAAGCTATTAAATATTAAATTATTGGTCTCCAATTGACATGGAAATCTAGAATAGTCGATACAGAATAAGCAAATAGTTAAGTTGGCTCTCACTTTCTATTAATGGTCAATATATTTGATTCATTAATTCATTTGGGAACTGTCCAACTAACAATTTGCATATGCGACTATATTATTAAAGATTAAGGTCGAAACTTCCTCAGACAGGCAGGCAAGCAAGGTCAACTAGCTCACACATATATATATATATATGTATATATTCAATTAGGCAGTCAAGTCATGCCCCGATTCTCGCAGTGTACTCACCTCACCCCATATAGGCTGGCCAAGTTGGATGGTCTTAATGGTAGTTCTTCTGCTGCTGCTTCTATTGCTCCCTTCCACTTTTGCTATTTTTCCTTTGCATACCTTTCTATTTGTTGTTTTTTTTGTCTATTTTTCTATTTATTTTTCTTTCGCTTGTGCTCAATTTGGCACAACAACTTTTGCGGTCGTCCTGGCCGCTTTCGCTCCGGGTTCGGTTGCGGAGTCGGTTTGGAGTCGGAGCCGCAACAACTACTAGTCTCTGATTGCACTGCGGTCTCTTCTGCTGCCCATTCCATTTTTGGTGGGCGTCCAGCTGTCGCCGACTGCAGTCGTCAGACCCAAAACCCACACCCAAACTCAGCTCCGGCCCCAGACCCATATCCAAATTCAAACTCAAACCTAAACCTATGTCTAAGCCCAAGCCCAACTGGGCGTGGCAGTTGGGGGGAATATGGCAACGTGACCAGCTAACAGCTAACAGTAGCTGACAATATTGTTAGCGTTGTGGCAGCTTTTAGCTGACATCTTTGCGGCCATGAATCGAGTGACGAAAGATACACAATACTCTCCATATATAGATGTACACAGATATACTCGTAGATATAGATATAGATATATACAGACAGACACTCGATTAGTAGATGCCCTTCACGCAGAGTTTAAATACAGTTTGTTTTGTTTAACAAAATCTATATAAATTATATATTTTGATCGATTTATATAAACTTGATCTGCGCATAGCATAAGAGAATTTATAATCCAAATTTAAAGTCGTTAAGTTTTAAAAATCTCTGAGATCGGCTTGTTTGTACAGATGCACATGACTATATCGGCTTTGCTGTTGCTCCTCAGCAATATATATATATATATAGATCTGTTGGCAAACTATCAGATTATCTAATGAAAGTAAAGACTTGAAATATTTTTAGTTGGGGTAGACATTTTTATAGAGACTCGATAAGATAAACAATTTGTTTGATTGGTTGGTGTTGCCTTGTATCATATTTTCAAGCCTTCAATATATTTATAAGAATAATGTGTGCAGTGTTTCTGAGACGTATATGTACTCATACCGATAGATAATATATATTATCTATCTTAGTCATGCGCTGACGTCACAGCCTCGTAACTTACATTCCATATTATTGCTGTTTCTGTATTCATTTTTCTTCTTGCAAGCGGCTAAACTGTGACAAAAGTGTTCATTTAAACAACATTGCAAAATATGATGGGTTTTCTGTCTCTCTCTCTCTCTCTCTCTCTCTCTCTCTCTCTCTCTCTCTCTTCATTTGTGTGTTAATATTTCTAATTGCGATTGCTGTTGTTCCCCTCGCTGCCCTGCCCACTCCCCATTTGAGAAGTCATTAAAAATGCTTTATTGTTGTTTAGCTATATATTTAGTTAGTAGTTAAAATTGTTATTATTGTTGTTGTTGTTGCTGGGTAGCTGGTAAATGATTGCACATGTTATTCGTGCTTGTTTCCCTTTGCTGCATTCTCTAAATTACGGGGTGCTTATGTCAGGTCCCCTCCCCCAGGAGAGAGGGAGCCGGGAGGGGAGCTGTGGCTGTTGCCGCAATTGGAGCGTACTGTAAATCAGCGCACAACTTTGTCAACTGGCCTTTGACTGAGTGTTTAAATGGGGAAAAATGCTGAAGTGCTGAATGCTCCACAAAATTCCTTTCGGAGACATTTTAACGTGGTAAAACAACAAAAAGAATGCTGTTGACTAAGATTGCGAATATTTAAGTTTAACTATAAATTCAAAAATAAATAAAAAAGAAAAGTGAAACAAGCGATTGTTCCAATGTTGATCGGAATAATACGGCATATTAACACGCATATTGACCAAGTTTGTTCCACATATCTTGGCCAACAAATAAGTTGTTTGCACAAGAATTCCTTGGTCGACATATATATACATAATTCATATCAAATATATATAATATATATATATATCGTTTACTACAATTAAATATACAAATTTCTTGTTTTTTTTTTTGCTTTTGAGAATCTGTATCTATATTGTGAGATTAAGAATATGACTCAAAAAGAGTCTAATAAAGTTTGTTTTATCATATTCTGATAACGAATGCAGAAGAGTCTGTCTTGCTGTGCCTACAATTTGGTAGGCTACATAATCGATAACAGCAATGGTTGAATATCGATAAAAACCATATATCTGTTAAAATTTTAAGGCTGGTCACCAAATCTGTAGATTAAGTGACGTCTTTTCAAGATATGTCTATATATATATTCTAGATATATATTCTTTCGCAATCTTACAGCTGGAGTAACCCAATTTAATGTGTAAAAAACGAATAGAAAGGGAAATCGAAATGGAAATGGATTCTTCGATTCAAAGAACATTTTTGTGTGGAAATTTCGAAAATGCATGAGAAGAATTTCACATGAAATGTTTACACAAATACAAGAACAACAACAACAAGGAGCAGGAATTGCAGTTGCAGTTGCACATAGAGAAATAGATTGAGTGGTGGGTAGAGGAGTACAAGGAGGAGGAGGAGGAGGAGGGGGGGGGGGGGGTGGTTGGTGGTGATGGGTGGTGTGTTCGTGTTTGGGAGAAGAAGCTGTTGAAGCTCTGTGGAGCTACTTGAAACGTGCGTCAATTGTTTAGGCAAGGAACGAACGATTGGAATTCTCAACGTGCCGCAACTGCCAACATCTATTTATGGAACATTGGGAGCAGCTCATCGAGTGGCCCTTTCGGTGGTGCGATCTGCGGTGGTTGTTGTTGCTGCCACTGCCGTTGCTGCTGCTGCTGCTGCTGCTGCTGCTGCCTTTTGTTTGTTTACTCAATGCCTTTCAGGCAAAAGCTGCAACACGAAACCAAAAGCCAATGACGATGACGATGATGACGATGATGGCGATGATGACGATGCCGTTGCGCTGCATTCAATGGCTGACTGGGCTAAGCAGGCGATGGTTGTGGTGGTGGTAGGGGTGATGGTGGTGGCGGGGGCGTTGCATTTGCACTCGTGCGTTCAACAAGAGCCACTCGAAGCCGCACGCCGAGTGAGGCAACATTTAAAGGCAGCACAGAACCAGCTCGAATTGAACTTAATTGCATGAAATTGAGACACGAGACTTGATATACATGAGACGGGAGAAGACGAGTGGGGAATGTGGCGTGGGGAGGGGGAGTCGCAGAGACAAAGAGTCGCAGAGTCTCGCGCTAGAGAATCGAAGAATCCGCGCCGAGATTCACTCAAAACTCATGCGTCGTCCTCAATTTGGAACTGTGTGCTAAGTGCGCCGTCAAATGAGCTGTCATAATGATAATGATCATGATGATGATGATGATGATGATATCGTCACCAAGAGAGTGAACCTTTTAGCCTAGAGATGAACGATGACAAGCCAAATATTATTCATATTATATATACATATGTATATATAAAGCTAAAGCTGTCATTTTTAAATATTCAGAATTAAATTAAACTATATTTAAAAATAAGAAAAACAAAATTAAACTAAATCAATAAACTTCGCAATACTCAATATTAGCTATGTAAAATTAGATATTGCATTTATATTTTCATCAAATATTGAGAATTACACAGGAAAACTATTGAAATTAATTTCAAATTTAAAGTGTTTATATATGATTAATATCATCTATTTAATTTGTATAAAACGGATAATTCTATTGTGAAAAATATCAATAAATATCCATATCAGTTTACTTTAAGAAATGTACATTTTTATTTAAAATACCCAAATGAAATCGTTCGAATTATTTTCATATGCATAAAATGTGCGCATAGAATATGCCCCAAATTAGAGGCATGCAATTGATACTAAGCATGCTAAACAGTCTATCTAAATGAAAAGCATGCTATGCAACAAGAAGCAATACCGAAGATTAAATACACTTGTTGACCAGCGTTTATCTGTCGACATCTCTACACCTTTTGGTGCGTAGTTCGAAATATTATCATCTTCTATATAAGCAAGTTTTATTTTGGCACTTATATCATGTGGCACATATATCATGTGCACTTCGTCTGGATATCTTGGTAAAAGCACGTTTTTTTTCTGTTGTTGTTGTTCCTATGGCAATTAATATTTAATGATCTCATGCGATGCATGAGTGTCAACAACACTCAAAATTAGTATTAGTTCGTGCTGACTCGTGTCAGCTCGTGTCATCTCGTGTCACGCGCTCAACTCTAGCTGTGGCGAAGAGCCACTCGCAATGGGAATGCTGTAAAAAGTTCCTAAAGTTCTTGCACATAGAAGACGAGCTCCATTTGGGGGCCATAATGCTCAAGTGGTTGACACCCGTGAACCCCTGGCAAATGTGTCTAACAGCAAATGTAACGCTGCCATTAAACAGCAACTATGAGAATGTTTGGCCCCAATGCACCACAACCCCTCCTCTCCCCTAGCCACAGCCTCCCTTTTTACTTGGGCAAGTTCTATCGATGACAAAGTTTAGCCGATGAACTGTGAAATGCATTTTCCCCGTTCAAACACACACACACAACAAACGACGACCACATAAACATGTCAAATGGGAGAAAGGGGGGCAGGCGTGGGGTGTGTGTGTGGCACGTTAAATGGGGGCTGGAGGGAGGGGAGAGAAAGAGGAGTGTAGGCAACATGAAATAAATTGAGTGGCCCGCAGAAAGTAAAGCGTCGCATCGCATTCGATAAAGATCTTGTTCAGTGAGTTGATTTTCGAATTAAGTCCGAGATTTCTTTGGTTGGCACTTGCAACAGATTGACAAACTGACTGATTGACTGACTGAATGACTGACTGACTGATTGAATGAATATGTGTGTGTATGTGCATTTGGCTGCTTTATTGCATTGCCGAGTTCACATTTGGCATTTGTTTATACTTATTAAGCAGCTTTCGCAGCCGAGACAAATACACAGATACACAGGGGGCAACAGATACAAAGTCTTATCTGGCCCAAGTCTTTGGCAAACAGCGATCGTTGCTCGTTTCCTCTTCTTCTTTATTGTTATTATTATTATTATTATTATTATGATTATGATTATGATTTTGTTTGTTTGTCTGTTTACTTAAGCTCGAATCTCGCAACAATTGAGCAAACTTTGCGGCTGCAACGAATTTGCGTAAACGCTTGCCGTGAATCTACTCTTCTGAGAAACTGAGAAACACACACATGTGTAAATAGCAGTGCACGTAGGTCTACACTCAGCAAAAAAAGAAAATGTAGAGCTTTAGAAAATGAGTAAAGTAGAATACTTAGTAAATGCAATATTATTTGTATTATAAATAAAAAAGAAATAATTTTTTATTTTAATTGAAATGCGCTTATCAACTGTCCTTGCCCCCGATTATCCTTGTGTTATCCTCTGCCGAGAATATGCCTCAGCTTGCTTAGCATTTGTAAACACGGAAATTTGATGGTAAACATTTTGGTGCCACATTTCCTTTGGCTAATTGCCAGCCGAGCCAACCCTTGTGCATAAGTTAGGCTCCCTTCTTCTTCTTGCTGTTGTTTTTTTTTCCAGAGCTTTTGCTTGAATTTCCGGTATGTGTTGCTGTTGCTGTTGGGCCCTCTTATTGTTATCGATAAGTGCACTGCTGAGCAGCGTTTAAGGGTTGCAAATCAGCCAGAAGGGTGCGTTAATGATATCTGCGGTTCAGGGGCAAAGCAAGCGTCTCAGACTTGATGAGCGAAGTGGAGTTGTTGGCCCATTGAATGTGAATGTGTCTGCTTAACATGCCTAAACTCAATTAATTGCTTAGTTGGGCATTGCGAAAGTGCAACGCCCACCCTTGCCAGCAGCAGCAGCAGCGCAGCTCAGTGCTCCAAGGGAGGGTGCATACCACAAGAGATGCCACATTTCGCAAAAGCCAGCACAAGTTGCAAGATTATTCACTCGCAAATAGTTATGCGACTATCAATGTTGCTTTTTACAGCTATTCATTACATTTTGGATCACTTTCAAAAGTAATCGATTATTATCGACACCTAACGATAGGCTAGACACAATTGACTTATTTCTTTCTTTGCTTTTCTTTTATTGATGAATGCCAATCCTTAAGCAATAACTATCTATCACTTGCTTTTCCTAGCTGTGCTATTTGTGTGGACTTCGATAAATGTCGAAGCTTACCGATAACTTAGAAGTTCTCACTTAGAACGAATGTCCTTTTTCTTATCTTACAACAAAAGCTTGCGTGTTGAATATCAATCCTTAAGCTGCTAATATTGTTTGGAATAGATATTAGTTATTCTATGATGATAAGTGAATGATCGATTGACATAATTGATTGATCGACAATGGGATCAATGGAACTTTTATTGAATTAAAGCAATTATGAAACAAAAAAATCACATATTTTCGAGCATGGCAAAAGCCTTCAGTTTACTTTATTTATTCAATTATTTTCAATTTAAATTTGTCAAATTAAAGTTTTCCATTTGAATGTAAACAAATCCTTTTAACGGAAAATAAATAATTCAAATTAATATATTAACTATTTAGTATTGATTTAATTTAATGGAACTAGAATAATGTAAAGTAATTCTTTGTGGAACTATAAGTGTATAAGGCATAGTTAATAATAGTTGGGATTACCAATAATGCAATGTGGCAATTGCAATGAATGTGGCATCTGGCAGCACTGTGCAGCAATCCAGCAGCAATCGCTAGCAACCCCCAAACTAGACTAGTTGCAGCTACAAAGTTACAAGGATGTCTGAGATTCGCATGGAGATTCCATCGTGTCCATGTTGGGCGCAGGCGCAGAGAGTGCAACTGGCACGCGGGTGTGTGTTGCCCAGTTACTAGTATCCTTATGGCACAACGAGAGAGTGAGAGAGCTGAGAGAGAGAGAGAGAGAGAGAGAGAGAGAGAGAGAGAGAGAGAGAGAGAGAGAGAGAGAGAGAGAGAGAGAGAGAGAGAGAGAGAGAGAGAGAGAGAGAGAGAGAGAGAGAGAGAGAGAGAGAGAGAGAGAGAGAGAGAGAGAGAGCGAGCTGAGAGAGCCCTAAAGTGGCCCATTAAAGTTTCGTGGGTTGTTCTTTTTTTTCTCCTTCTAATTTTTTTTTTTTTTTTTTTTGGATTTTCGTGTGTTTTGGGCATGTTTGCTTGGATCCGTGCGCCGCTCTGTTCAGCTCCGTGGCTCGAATCGTGCTGAGGCTAAAACAAAAAAAAACAAAAAAGAAAAGAGAAAATGAAAAATAGATATAGTTAAACATAAATATAAATACAAATAAATTAAGACGAACAAAACAATAAAGTGTGTTCAATTAACTCGGGGATTTTTCTTGTTTTTCGATGATTATAAACAAATCGATTTAAACTCAACAACAATCAACTTCAACTCAACTTGTGGCAAATTCTTGGTGCCCCATAAGATACAACAGATATACACACACACACACACACACACACACACACACACACAAAGAATAAAACGCCAAACGCGCAACACAAATCAACACAGCAGCCGTCATGTGTAAGTAGAGATGCAGGTGCACATATATCTTTATCTATATATATATGTATATATATACATATATATATATATATGAAAGTGGGTGTGTGTGTGTACTTGTGTGTCAAGCAGCCTGCTTGTTGGCACTTGAGCTAAGCAGGCCCAGCAATTTGTTTGTTTTGCGCTAATGGGCAAATGGAGCTGCTGCTGCTGCTGTTGCTGTTGCTGTTGCTGTTGCCACACAGCGGGTTGTGTGTTGCAACATAGTCAACCAACCCCACCAACCAATGCAACTCTAACCAGTGCAATGCACTCAATTGAAGCTGCTAATGTGACGCTAATGTTTCTCGCAATGTTTTTATCTTGTTTTGTTTTCTCTCTTGTGCACAGCGAAGACACCGTCATTTGACAAGGATCGGGATTACATTGGATTTGCCACGTTGCCGGAGCAGGTGCATCGGAAGTCGGTGAAGCGCGGCTTCGAATTCACGCTGATGGTTGTCGGCGAATCGGGTCTGGGTAAATCGACGCTGATCAACAGCCTATTCCTGGGCGATCTGTACAAGAATCGCCAGGTGCCCAACGTGGAGGAGCGCATCGAGAAGACAACGCGCGTCGAAAAGAAGACAATGGACATTGAGGAGCGGGGTGTCCGGCTGCGTCTAACCGTTGTCGATACGCCCGGCTTCGGGGATGCCGTCAACTGTGAGGACAGCTGGCGTGTGTGCACCCAATATATTGACGAACAGTTCCGTCAGTATTTCACCGATGAGAGCGGACTGAATCGACGCAATATACAGGACAATCGTGTCCACTGCTGTCTCTACTTTGTGCCGCCCTGGGGTCACAGGTGAGCTAAAGCCAAAGCTGATACTAAATCCGAATCCGAATCCCTAACTAATTGCATTTGCATTTGCATTGACAGCCTGCGGCAGATGGATTTGGATTTGATACGGCGATTGCATCGCAAGGTGAACATTGTGCTGGTCATTGGCAAGGCGGACTGCCTGAACAAGCAGGAGGTGCGTAAGCTGAAGGAGCGCATTCTCCAGGATCTCGAGGACAATCACATACAGCTGTATCAGTTTCCCGAATGTGACTCGGATGAGGATGATGATTTCAAGCAGCAGGATCGCGAACTGAAAGCATCCATACCGTTTGCCGTTGTTGGTAGCAACACCATACTGGAGGTGGCCGGCAAGAAGGTGCGCGGTCGTCAATATCCCTGGGGCGTTGTCAATGTGGAGGATGCCGAGCACAGTGATTTCATCAAGCTGCGCACCTTTTTGATATCGACCCACATGCAGGACCTAAAGGACACCACACAGGTAACAATTCCCAATCTCCCTCTCTCTCTCTCTCTACATTGTTATTTGTATATATAAATATTTGGTTTTTGGTTTTTGGTTACAGGATGTGCACTACGAGAACTTTCGGGCGCAGTGCATCTCACAGATATCGCAGCATGCGTTGCGTGAACGCGGCAAATTGAAGCGTGACTCGATTAGCTCAACGAACGGTTTCGATGCGGCCATTTCGGAAACGGATCGACTGCTGTTGCAGAAGGACGAGGAGATCCGTCGCATGCAGGACATGCTCACCCAAATGCAGGAGAAGCTCAAGCAGACGCATCTCATGGAGATGAAGAAGAACGACAGCGTCATCGATGTCTAAATGGTGGCCGGCCGGCGACTACTCTCTTTACGCCAGTCGCGTGTTCAATTTTACACCTTGATAGACACCATAGTTATAACTATATATATACATACATATATATATATATAATAATAATTATATAGACAGATACACACAGACACACACACACACACGCAACAGCAAACAACCACCAAAAAGTTATGTTTTTTTTTTTTAATGTAGCACACTTACCAGTTAACCGAATTTGGTTCTTTTAAGCTTTTTCTAGTTGCAAAACTAATCCAGATCAAAAAGAAAAAAAAAAACAAAACAAGTAATTAAAAATAAGCGAACAACGAGCGATATTAGTGAATTTTTCAGCCAATTAAAGTTTTTCTTTCTTTTTGTTTTGTTTTCTTTTTTTTTGTAGTTTTAAATGATATACAACAAACAAAAAACGCACACAATTTGTAAAAGCAACTCTTAGCTGAGCATTGACCAAATTGTTATTCAATTTAGCCCCACCCCCAAAAAAAAGTAAGAAAATCGAACAATATGCATAACCCAATAGGGATGGCCTCTAAACTTAGGTCCAGACGAATTCAACTCGCTTTCGGCTGAAATTCGCCAATTTTTTGTAATGTGAGCAAAAGAAGGAAAGAAAACTTTTCAATTGTTGACCGTAGATATTTAATACAAATTTGACTTCAAAATAATGCATACAATAACAAAATATTATGTAATTTCTTATAACGATGAGACTACGCCATTAACTTAGCTGTTGGCTTAATAAATATGTAACTCCACAAAATCCACTAACAACAATACCAAAGTAAAAGGAGTTTAAGCAACTATAAAAACTACAGGACAAACTAACTAAACAAAACAGAACAGAACAAGAGGCACACACAGATATAAACCCAAAAAGTAAGCGTATTTAATTTATGTTTACTTCATATATATATATACATATATAAATATATATATATATTTATTATTATTATTTTATAAATATTTTTTTTTTGTAATTTCTTGGTCAGAGTAAACAAGAGAAGCAATTGGAAACGCATAAGCAGCTCCGAATTTGTTGAAACGAATTGTTAATGAATTTATTTTAAATTATTAGTTAAGCAACATACAACATAATAATTAAATTAAAATTATAGTGGAAAAATTATATACACATTATAATGATAAAATTTAAAAAAAAAAAAAAAACGAAAACAACACAAAATCAACTATTTAAAATAAACATAATTATGAAAATTTACCATTCATTTCAAATAGAAAACTATTTGGGTCACCGATTTGGCAAAGAATGCATTATAAATAATGATCTGTATTTTCTGGAGATATCTCGATTCAGATTGCACAAAAAGCAACAAAGTCTTAAGTAAAATATTTATTAAATTTAAATAATCAAATTAAATCGGGCGCTTACAGTAATATAAGAAATAAAAATATGTAATTCCAAATTGCAGAAAGACTTTAATAATTAAAAACTTCGAGACTAGTTACAGAAATATGCAATTTTGGCTGCAACTTTCATTTACTCATTTTCTTCAATGTTTTTTCTTTTGTTTCTTTTTTTGCCACAGCCTGCGGAAGCAGTTGCTCAGCTCTGCACTGAAAACAGAAATTGCGGAATTATGTTGAAAATGTTGTTCGATTATCGCCAGTAGTGAGAGCCATTATTAGAAACTGGATCACAATCAGGTTTCCGATTGTTGATTGATGGCAAATTCCAATATTTTCAGTTGGTGCTAAATTTAAAATTCCCGCCAAAGTGCTTTGTAAAATTGTCGAGCACTGATTCCAAACAATCGTTCAAGTCACGTACGAACTAGTAGTTCGATAACAATATGAATGAACTGCCAGAGATTAGCTGACAAATAAATAATTTTGTAATTTTAAACATTTTTAAATTGATTTCACGTTGTCTTAAAGCAAGAATATTTTATGAGATTTTATTAAAATACAATATCACATGTATAGAACTATTGTAGTAAATATACAAATCAATTGAATAACACTCATCACAAATTTGAATTGTGGACTATAAAACAACATCTAGTTCGGAAGAGAATATGATATTGACAGGGTATTAACAGAAAAGAGCCAGTTCGCTAGAGCTCAAATTGTTAACTAGATACTAAGATACGCTCTTCGCGTGGTGAACACAGTGCAAATCCATCAAAAATACCGCATGCTGTATTTGATATTAAATGAAAAATACAAAAACAGCTAATCCTACAAAGCGCGGTCAATTTGATCAATTTACATGGTTATTAATTATATTTATAGACAATCGAGAGGTGTTCCTAAGTCGTACAAGAAAACAAATATACTTGTTTGCCTATGACGAATTATCTCGTAGTTATATTTTTCAGATACAGAATGTGCTTATAACCGCACTATGAGTTATCATTTGTTTGCGTTTATTTGTTGCGATTAGATTGAATTTAAAATAAAATTCATTAAAAAATTCATAAAATGAATGTATTTCAAAACTTAATCTTTCTTAGCTTGGAGGCTGTCTCATTATAGCGTTGTACACTGGCAATATACCAAAGCACCGAAATACCAACATAAAAAATACTGAAATAAACATATATAGTGTATATATGTATGTATGTATTTATGTGGCTACTCTAACAGCAAGCAAGCCAGCCAGCCAGCGAGCAGGCAGTGAGAGTGAGCGAGGAGACGACGAAGACGGCTCGTCAAGAGTTACGCACTGAGTATGTGCTGGCGGCGGATAACGGCGAACGGACCCTAAAAACAACAGTGTGCGTGTGCGTGTGTGTGTGTTTTGCTCTTTATTTTCATTTGTAACAACAAATATAGTGGTTAATTCATAATTATCTTGTGAAAATCACAAACTGCAAATAACGAGTGCAGTCTTTCGTGTGAGTGCAATTCTTTCCCAAATGTAATCACATTAAGTGTGAAAATGTTGAACTGAACTGAACTGAAATATCAGCCAGCAAACCAAAGCAGCAGCAATAAATTTGCATGCATCCAACTCTGTCTCATATCCATTTGGGAGGAGAAGCATTGAAAAATTTCAGCTGAAAATCAAAATCAACAATTATAAGTAATTACAACTACAACTATGTATAACTGTTAAAGTAGTAGCAGCAGCAGCAGAGCAGCGACAGAGCAGCAACCACGGTCGTTTAGCAGCCAGCAGCACCAAGAAGACGACGACGAAGAGCAAGACGACAAGTAAAACAACAATAAAGCTGGCCATATTCATACAAAAAAAAATATATTGGGAAAAAAAAAACAGCATGTCGTGAGCTAATCAGAATCAGTGGAAGACAAGTAGAAGTTTTTTTTCAAGTAATATTTTTGGTGAACGGTAATGTTATTATCAATGAATGTTAACTAAAATAAGTGAAAATAATGCAATTGAAATTATATGTTATATTTATAAAAATACGCCAAGCCAAAGCGACGCAGTCGTCGCAGTCAGCGTCGCAGTCGACGTCGTCTCGTGGTGTCAACGTCAACTCCAACCGCGCCGCTTGCTGCTCGCTTGTATGTGGGTGTGTGTGTGAATGTGTATGTGTGGGGCCAGCAAAGGTGGACTGCTGTTGTGTTAAAAAGACGACTCCTGCCGGCAGTCCCGTTATTATTGCACTTCGTCTAAAACTATGTGCTTGTCATGTCTTGTTAATTCGTGTCGAAGCACGCAAGATGAAACACGATGTGCACGGGACACGACTCAATATATGAACTAGAAATTAGGGACACAAATCAAATGATTTAAATATGATATGCTGATATTGAAATTGGGAAAGAAAATTGCAAGATTCTATTGGGGAAAATTGTATATTTGTCAAGCATGCTTTAAAATATTCAAAACTTTTAAGCAAATAATGCATCAACGAAAGTAAGAATAAACTGTAAATAATTGCACTAAACTTTTTGTTTTGTCTCCAAACAAAATCGTGTCACGACGTGTTGCTGAAATCCTAAGCCCACCCATCTCTGCCTGTGTGCGTGTGTGTGTGTGTCTGAGTGTGTTGTTTTACTGAAAAGTCGCGTACGGTTAAAATAGATAAATAGTTGAGAATCCAAATCTAATCGTGAGTAGTTTGAGTTGCCCGCTTAGCAATTACAAGGCGTTTCCGCTTTCCGCCGTTTGTTGTGCTGAATTTCGAATATTGATTCCATCCTTTTATGTAGTCATTTATCGCAGCTGAGCAGCGCTGTTTTAATCAAACTGTAAATCAAAGCCAAAACAGCAGCAGCAACAACAACAAAAACAGTGAGCAAATCAAAAGAAAAAAGAAAACATCAAAACGAAACGAAAAAGCCAACAATAACAGCAAGAGGAAGAAGAAGCAGCAGCAGAAGCAGTGGAAAATGACGGACTATGTGGAGCTGTTAAACAGCATGTCGAGCAGATTTAACAGCGATTGCGCCACCAGCACCGCCGAGGGCGGCACTCTGCTCAATATGGATCTGGCCGAGGATAAAACTGTCAAGTGGCGCAATTTGGCCAACAATCAGTTCGCCTGCAAGGATAAGGATAAGAAGCAATGCACCCACGAAACGCAACAGAAGCAACAGGAGGAGCAGCAGCAGATTCTCGTAGCTGCTGGTGGCGTCAAATGCGAAACGGAAGCTGCAACGGTTTCCGAGCAGAAGCTGCTGCCTCAAGGCCAAAGTCAAAGTCGGGACAACAACAACAGCAACAACAACAACAGCAGCGATGCTGATGGCGATGCAGAAAAAAGACAAATAGCGGGAGCAGAAAAAACACAAGCAGCGACGTCGAGCACTGCTGCTGCGATAGTAGCCGACAATGGAAACGACGATGACGTTGACGTTTCCGAGAGCGCAGTGGAAGCAGTAGCAGAAGATGCAGCGGCAACAAAAGCAACTGTAGATGAAGAGAGAGGAGATGCTGAAAGAGCAGCAGCAGCAACATCAGCAGTCAAGTTGGAGCAGGAAGCATGCAAAACTGCAGAAATAGCAGTTGGCGACGAGCTGGCAACGCCGTCGTCTGTGCAAATTTTAATAGCAGCTGCGACAGGTGCAGCACCAGTAACAGCAACAGCAGCAACAACAACAACAACAGCGGAAGGCATTAAGGCTGAAAGAGTGATGGAAACGGCAAACGCAACACCCAAAGAGGAGCTGGACGAGGAGCAGCAGTCGCAGCCGCTGCCGCAGGAGCTAATGCCGACTGCGCAGCGCGAGCAAAAGGCAAGCACAGAAGCGGCGACAGAGGCAGCGGCAGTGACAGCGACAGAGGCAGCGACAGAGACAGCGACACAAGAAGCCGAGGTCACATCGGTTTCAGTAGCAGCATCGGCATCGGCATCGGGAACGGCATCCCCAGCAGCGCCAGTCGCTCCACTTGTTGTCAACTCTGCTGGTAATAGCAGCGACGCTGACGCTGACGCAACAGATTCGACATCGATGAATGCTCCGGCAAGCAGCGATGATGTCGCAGCGCCAATAGCAGCAAAAGCAACAACAACAACAACAGTCACAGCAGCAGCAGCACCAGCACAAGTGAATGCTGATAAAAACGTAAGTGTATTCGTGTATATATGTGTGTAAATGTGCGCGTGTGCTTTTTGCATGCATGCGTATAAGTATGCTCATGTGTGTGTGTGTGTGTGTTAGTGTAATTCTCGAATTCGAATTCTTTCAGTGTTTGCAGCTTGCTTGAATTACTTACTGTTGTTTTGCTTACAATTAAAATATTGGGGAGCACTAGCAACTAGTTTATTGAAAAGGGATTAATGTAGAGAAAGAGTGCAAAATGGGCAAAAAAACAATGCCAGAAAGAACGAGCGAGCCACTAAGTGAGAGAGAGACAGTAAGAGGGAGAGAGAGCTATAAAATCGTAATTTGCTTCATTGGTCTAAGCAGAGTTGATGAAAAGTATGTTTAAAATATTATTCGATGTGATACACACACACAAACATACACACACACACATACATGTGTGTGTGTGTGCGAATGTTTATACATGCAAAAATTTGTAGCAGAAAGTTTGCCCATAATCTGAAAATGAATGAGAAATGAAAATGGCAGCAAGTCAATTGTAGGAACTTAAATAGCTTAAATGCAAAGCGAAAATCAAAGTATAATGAAACTGTAAATTAATAGGTAGGGCTTATCAGCTTGTTATTAGCCATGTCACAAACTTAAACTTGCAATCATCTTAATGAGGGGTCATAAAATCAAGCATTTCACAAAACTAACTTATTTAACATAGCAAATGTATCCTAAACGAAAGGAAAACCTTATAGGAGAGGTCATAGTCTATCTATCAATTATGGATCAAGTGATGAATATCAAATTAGAAGTTGGTTGAAATCACTTATTTGATTACGTGCTGCATAAATTCAAATTTAAAATGAGGCAAACTTTCAATTTGCATAATATATATATATATATATATATATATATATATATATATATTTTTTATATATTATGTGTTATGTGTGTACCTATAATACAGTAGACGTTCGCTAAAGTGTACAGCTGCAGATGTTTATGGGCTGAAATTTTGTTTTGGATTTGTTTGGGTAAACGACCTCCAATATTATATTATGTTTATTTGCCAGGCATTAAAGCAACGAGCAAAAGAAATGTGTCGTCTTCTTCTTCTTATCATTCTTCTGCTTCTTCTTCTACTGTTTTTGAACCAGTTTCGTAGGCAGCTTTTAAACTGGTATTTGGTATTTGGCTAGAAATCATAAGGCCGACAATATTAACACATATTCTCCGATCTAAATCGAATTTACTATTTTGTCCATTGAAATATATATTTCAGCACTTAAACGAATAATAATACAAATCGTATATATATCTCAGATTCATTGGTCCCACAATATATAAATAACCAAGAATTGCATTAAACTCTCCAATCAGTAAATGCAAGTTTTTTTTATCAATTTATTTTGTTAGTCAGAAAATAATGCAATTATCAATTATCGATTGACTACTGTAAAATTGAAATGCTTAAATCGTTTAGCGTATTTCGACAGCTAGTTGGGTTTATGAGTTTGTCTTGATTAATTGGCGTTCACCTTGGTGAGTGTCTACTGTGCTCGCATTGACTGTTGCAAGTTTGTTGCTGCAGGTGTGATAGGTGTAGCAGCATCCTTGATATTCCCGGTATATATATATATTACAACTCTAGCACCCTCTTCCTCCTCTCTCTTTCTCTCTCCCTCCTCGCTCTCTCTCTCTCTCTCTCTCTCTCTCTCTCTCTCTCTCTCTCGCTCTGTTGCCACAATTGTCCCCGGCCCTGTTGTTGGCCTTGTTGGCTAGCCAAGTGTTTGGGAAGACGTGTTGCCAGGGCAACCTGTCAAGTGGCCGAGGGAACGAGAGTGGTTAGCCTAGCAGCTCCACATAGATTCGTATTTCAATTGGTTTTAACCCCGTTTAGACAGACAGACAGTCAGTCAGACAGGCGGACAGATAGGCCAGTCTGTTGTTTATTAACGATAATTTGATATAAATTTTGAATGCGATTCACGAATGGACGAAAGGCAAGTTGCAAGTTGCAATTCTTTTTTGCTGTTGGGGTTTGTTGCGTCCAATTGAATGTTTTCATTGAATTCGTCTGTGTCTCCCCTGCTGCCTCATTCGCAAAGAGCTGTGTGGTTGCATCCATCGTCATCTGGTGTGGTTTCACCTGTTGTCCAGACTCTCAACTGAATTGGCAATCTACGTGTGACTCAATGCAGGTTGTTCTTTTGCAGGAACAGAATGGTGCCGGCAGCACGCGTCGCTTGCGTCGCACACCCCGCCCCACAGACACGCCCACATTCTGCATGCCGGACGAGCTGACGCTGCAGGAACAGGAGCAAGAGCAGGAGGCGGTGGCGGCAGCGGATGCGGAAGCGGAAGCCAGCGAGGAGCAACAAAAAATACCAATGGAGAACAATGGCGAAACGGCGATCGATGTGAAAAAGGAGCCAGAAAAATCACCGGGCGACATTGAACTGACCTCAAATGCGCTGCCAGCACCAAAACGCGGACGCGGACGTGCCAAAAAGATCAAACCCGATGCAATGGATGCTGCAACTGTGGAAGCAACAGTTGCCGATGGAGGACAGGAGGAGATGATGACGACAACGACAACGTCGCCACAACCAGCACCAGTCGAGCGCAAAGTGGGCCGCAAGCGCAAACTGGTCGAGGAGGAGCTGCAGCAGCAATTGATAACAACGGATTTGAGTGCTGCAACTGTCGTTGTCAAAACCGAGCAGGATGTGGAAGATGCTGCCACAACCACTGTGGCTGCTGCAGCGCCAAGCGGACCAGATGCTGCCAAGCGAATGCGACGCAGTGTGCGTCTGGGCAATCGCCTGGACAACGTGCACCACGCTCTCGACGAGATCAAAACGGAGCCACTGCTTCTCGCAAGTGAGCAGGCGTCAACAGCTGATCAATTGGCCGCCGTGGCGGTGGCCGCCGTCATGCTGGATGAGAAGACGCCACCGAAGAAGCGCGGCCGCAAGGCCAAAATAGTGGCGCCGCCAAACCGTGCCACCGATGCAAGTGGTCAAGCCTTGCCACATTTGCTGGTGGCAGCAACAAGCAATAGTGGCAGCTGTCCACTGGCTCTGGCCAATGGCAATAAGCGCGCTGCAGCAGCAGCGACGCCATTGTCAATGGCAGCAGCCATGGCAGCATCAGGATCAGCAACAGCTTCAGCTGCAACAGCAACAACATCGAGCAGCGGAGCTGCTGGGGATCAGTTGCAGTTGCCCAAGCGCTCCAAGCGTCGCATCAAGCCCACAACCAAAATACTCGAGAACGATGAGCTGCGCTGCGAGTTCGAGACGAAGCACATCGAGCGCATGACCCACTGGGAGGCCGCCGAGGGCGATGCCACCCACTACGAGACACCGCTGCAGCCGGGCAGCGGTGGCGGTGGCGGTTCCAATTCATCGACATCCCGGCAAAAGAGCGAGAAATCGGATGGAGGCAGCGGTATGGAGCAGCAGCAGCAGCAACATCATCCGGCCGGCACCAGTTCCATCAAGAAGCGACTGTTCTCCAAGTCACAGCGCGACATTGACAATTCGGGGGCAGCGCTGCTGGCGCAGAGTCAGGTGCGTCCCTGTCCCGATCTGGAGCAATTCCTGAGCGACATCAAGTCGGCCAAACTGTTGACCGGCAATCGTTCGCCGGAGGAGCGTAAAATGAACAAGAAGCAGCTGCGCAAACTGGCCAAACAAAAGGAGAAGCATCTCAAGCATTTGGGCCTGAGGCGCAACAACAGCGAAGAGGCCAGCGGCAACGATAGCTCCAACACGGACAACGAGGAGTTTGTGCCAGCGACGCCCGTTCAAGTGGGCAAGCCCAGCGTCACGTTGCGTCTCCGCAACGCCAGTAAGGAGGCGAACACCAGTCTCCACCAGCAGTCAGTCGCTGGCAGTCTCAAGCAACAGCTGGCTCTACCACCGCCGCCTCCACCATCCGCTGCTGCTGCAGCTGCGCCAACCAAATTGTCGCGCCGCGTTGCTGTGCGCAATAACAGCGCCGCAGCAGCAGCAGCAGCAGCAGCAGCAGCAGCATCCACAATTGCAACGCTGGAGCATGGACAGCTGCACACGCTGAATAGCGTCATTCTGTCCAATGCCAGAGATGCCATAGCCAGCACATCTTCAGCCGCTGCTGCTGCTGCTGCGGCAGCTGCTGCTGCAACTGCATCATCATCGTCTGTGAAATTCATTTGTCTGTGCCAGAAGAGCTCGCAGTATTATGCGAGGAATGCACCGGATGCATCCTACTGCTGTGCGATCGATAACATCGATGAGCAGAAGATCGGCTGCTGCAACGAGCTGGCTGCCGATGTGCACAATCTGTTGCGCCCCAGCCAGCGTGTCGGCTACATGATCCTCTGCGATGAGCACAAGAAGCGACTCCAGGCGCACAACTGTTGCGCCGGTTGCGGCATCTTTTGCACCCAGGTGAGTGAACACTGAGCACACTCAGTTGACTTAACTGAATCCTTTCGTATTGCATTGCAGGGCAAATTTGTGCTGTGCAACAGGCAGCACTTCTTTCATCCGGATTGCGCTCAACGCTTCATCCTCAACAGTCCCTATGATGCACAACAACAGCAGCAGCAGCAACATGCTGCTCTTCATGCTGGCAGCAGCAGCAGCGGCAGCAGCTATGCCAGTCCACTGCTAGTTCTCAAATGCCCGCACTGCGGCGTGGATACACCGGAACGCACCTCAACGGTGACCATGAAATGCCAAACGTTGCCTGTCTTTCTGCCCGCCCAGAAGACCAAAATGTAAGTGTTTATTTCTTTTGCCTTTGTTTATTCAACTGGTGCTTATCTTCTCCTTCTGCTTCTCTTTCTGCTGCTGCAGCAAACCTGCCAGGCTGACTACCTCGTCGCATTTGACACAATTTGCCAATGCCGCCGGCAGCGCGAAACCAACCAGCGGCGGCAGCGGCAGCTCCGCGGCAGCCAAGGCGGCAACTACTGGACGTGGCAAGGCAGCTGTCAAATCGAATGGTGGAACACGCCAAGGCGCCAAGGCAGCTGCAACTGCTACTGCTGCAGCTGTTGCTGCTGCTGCTGCAGCTGGGGGTGGTGGTGGTAATGTCAATGCCAATGCTGCTGCTGCTGCTGCTGCTGCTGCTGGACAGTCGCTGAACATAATCAACTTTGAGCAACTGATACCAGAGTCCGTGATGAATGTGGTGCTGCGCGATCGGATTGTCTCGTCCAGCGGTCGGGTCACAACCGAATTCAACTCACGCGACATGTACTACGCCGTGCAGAATGATGATCTGGAGCGTGTCGCCGAGATACTGGGTAAGCCTTTGCCTCCCATTCCACAGTTGAAGCTTAGCCAAACCTTAAATCTCTCTCTTTCTCTCATTCTCTGTGTCGCAGCTGCTGACTATGATGTGTTGACGCGGATGCGTGAATACCTAAATGGTACCTGCCTGCATCTGGTTGCCCATTCGGGCACCCTGCAAATGGCCTATCTGCTGCTCTGCAAGGGCGCCAGCTCCCAGGACTTTGTCAACATTGTGGACAGTGAATTGCGTACGGCTCTCATGTGCGCCGTGATGAATGACAAATGCGATATGCTTAATTTATTTATGCAGTGCGGTGCCGATGTTGCCATCAAGGTGCGTCTTTACCCCATTTTATATGTAATTGATATGTTTATGTGTGTTATTTATTTGCACAGGGACCCGATGGCATGACCAGTCTGCATATTGCCGCCAAACTGGGCAACATCGATGCGGCTCAACTGATTGTGGACAGTTTTCGCGCCTCGCGCAACATTGCCAATTTTCTGAGCTTCATTAATGCCCAGGATGAGGGCGGCTGGACGTCTATGGTCTGGGCAGCCGAGCTGGGGCACACGGATATTGTGAGGTATGTAATTATATATACATAATATATACATATAATATACACACCTGGACATCTAGTTAGCATCGTTTAGGATCTGGCTTTCATTATTCCAGAGACTATTATGTCATCTCTGATCAATGCCAGTCCTAATGAACCAATGCAAAGTTTTTGCTTAACTTTAAATTTGCTCTTTTGAATTTTATTGGATATTCTACTAGTTAATTTTGCTGCCACCAATCACCATGATGAAGTTTTCTTGAATCCTGCACGCTTTTTAATGTTTTCTTCTCATTTACGAGCATGAAAGTGTTCTGAGACCTTTTAATTGATGTTGTTGCTATGCAATTGTTAATATATTCCTTGATCTTAGAGCTTATGCTCTTCTTATGTGATACTCAGTTAAGGCTTTATTATAAATCGTAAATTCACACACCTATTTGAATGTCCAGGTATATTATATATACGATATATGTATGTACGAAAGAGTTACTTTAACGATTTTATGCTTAACATTGTTGCAGCCTGCTACTCAATCATGGCGCCGATCCCAATATATGCGACAATGACAACAACACGGTGCTGCACTGGTCGACGCTGCACAACGACGGACTGGACACGATAACGGTGCTTCTGCAGGCGGGCGCCGATTGCAATGTGCAGAATGTTGAAGGCGATACACCGCTGTAAGTCTACTTCGCATCTCCATTGAGATGACAAATGAGAAATGTACTTAAATCGATTCCATTTAGACACATTGCCTGCCGCCACTCGGTGACGCGCATGTGCATCGCATTGATTGCGAACGGCGCCGATCTGATGATCAAGAACAGGGCCGAGCAGCTGCCGTTCGATTGCATACCGAACGAGGAATCCGAGTGTGGCCGAACCGTCGGCTTCAACATGCAGATGCGCAGCTTCCGGCCATTGGGTCTGCGCACCCGGGTCGTCTGTGCGGATGCCTCAAATGGACGCGAATCGCGTCCCATACAGGCGGTGCGCAACGAGCTGACCATGTCGGAGCATGAGGATGAGGCCGATGCGCTAATGTGGCCGGACTTCAAGTACATTACCAAGTGCATAATACTGCAGAATTCGGTGCAGATCGATAGTCGGGTGTCGCAGATGCGCATCTGCTCGTGCCTGGACAGCTGCAGCAGCGATCAGTGCCAATGCAATGGCGCCTCCTCGCAGAACTGGTATACGGCAGAGAGTCGACTCAACTGCGATTTCAACTACGATGATCCGGCCGTCATTTTCGAATGCAACGATGTCTGCGGCTGCAATCAGGTTTGACATCAATTTATTTGTAATTTCAATCAAATCAAATTCTAATCCCCCGCTCCAATTCAAGCTGTCGTGCAAGAATCGGGTGGTGCAGAATGGCACACGGACACCGCTGCAGATTGTCGAGTGCGAGGAGGCAGCCAAAGGCTGGGGCGTACGTGCGCTGGCCAATGTGCCCAAAGGCACTTTTGTGGCAAGCTATACGGGCGAAATACTCACCGAACCGGAGGCACATCGACGCACCGATGACAGCTACTACTTTGATTTGGACAATGGGCACTGCATCGATGCCAATTATTATGGCAATATCAGTCGCTTCTTCAATCACTCGTGCGATCCCAATATTCTGCCCGTGCGCGTCTTCTATGAGCATCAGGATTATCGCTTTCCAAAAATCGCCTTCTTCGCCTGTCGTGACATCGATGCGGGCGAGGAGATCTGGTAAGATCCCAACCGCCCCACCACGCTACTCTTAAGTAGTTCAATTTCATCATTAACTACAATTACATTTACAGCTATGATTATGGCGAAAAGTTTTGGCGCTCCGAACAACGTTCCAGCGGCGGTGGTTGCAAGTGCCTCACGGCTGCCTGTAAATATGCCCAGCAGTCGCCCAGCTCGAATGCATCGCCAACGGCAACAGTCGAGGAGGAGCCGGAGGAGGAGGCGGAGGCGGTTGTGCTTGCAGCGTCGCAATAGATCAATGATCCATAACCACCCCTTCGAGGCGAGCACACAATAGAGAGACAGCGACAGCGATAGCGACGGAGACAGAGACAGAGACAGCAAACGACAATGACTCTCTTGGCCAGGTCAAGCTGCCAAGCTGCCAAGCATCACAGACAAAAAGAGCGCCATATTATACAAACACATATACAACAAAAACACATAACAACAACACACATAACATAGATAATCAAAATCAAAATCAAAGCCAACAGCAACAACAACAAAAACAACAAATAACGATGACAACAACTGAGAGAGAGCGAGACAGAGAGAGGTTTGTTCGTTGTTGGTCTTCGACTGCCAAATGTTTCATGGTTTTTTTTTTTTATTGTAATTATTATTATTATTATTATCATTTTAGTTACTGTTTCAACACGCAGTTATTTGTATATGTAAATATCATAATATTTGTTTTTATTATGCATTTGTTTTTATGAGATAATAATGTGTTTATAATACATATTTTTTTAACACATATATATTTGTACGTTAGGCTGCGTGTCGCATTGTGCAATACAAAATGTTTTAAAATATATAGATACGTATACATACACATACATATATAGCCCACAAATATGGGTAACTACTTATATACATACACACACACACATACACATATATATGTGTATATATATATACATATATATATCTAGATTATGTGCAATTGAATCAATTTTTTTCTATGTGTCTGTGTATCTGATGCATGTGTGTAAAAGCTAAACTTAATGTAGCGCAAGCCATAGCTATACATTATAGATGTATATATATACATAACATGCATGTATTTCCAATGTATTTTCCATCTAGGTGCGTTCGAGGAAAAGGCAAACTGAGAGTTTGTATCTAGTCATAGGAGATAATATACATATATACAGATATGTATATTTCTGAATACATAGAGTTTTTTTTTGGTATTGTTCAACGTTATCTGCGGCAGAGCGTTAACAATAACAATAACCAACAAACAATAGCGACAACAAGAACAACAACAGCACTCACACCTACAATACACACACACACACACACACACACAATTGTGAATTAAACAATAAATGTAACTTGTTTTCAACTAAGTTACGCATAATCCGTATACAAAAAAAGATGCACTTTTTTTGTTGGCATTTCTAGCAAAATTCGATTTTTTTTTAGACCAAATTCAAAAACAAATGAAAAATTTTATATAATCAATTAGATAACTAAATCAAAATAAATATGATAATGTATGCTTGCGTTGGGTCAAAGTACTGATAGTCGTTAGAGTATGTATTTTAGCCATTAATAGATACTCACACACAAACACACACAGACACAGTCATAGACACGCAGACCGAGAGACGCACACATTTAGAGCCACAAACTGGTTTTGAAAGCATTATTATGGTGAAGGTGCCGTTGTTGCCTATTGGAACATTTTGCTAAGCTTACTTTTATAGTTTAAACTTTAAACAGCAAAGCGAATCGACTGCAAATGCAAACAGTAACGGTCCCTGTGCTACAGTTACAGTTACTGTCTGATGTTGCAACAACAACTGCAACTGCAATCGACCGAATTTAGCTTTGCGCTCGAAAGCCATAAGTGCCTGACAAGCTTTCAAAGAAACCCCCCTTCCAATCCCCCTCCCCCTCCACACACACACACACACCAACCCAGCACACAATGTATACATATATATAGGGTCAATATGGCTAGGCCTGATACTACAGGAAGCAAAAGAGAATACAATAGATTGACTGCATTGGATTTTGAGATGCAACATCATATTATACTTAATTTCAGTTCCAATCATATCCCTGCGTCTAACGAATCACATCCTCAGCTAGTAAGAAGTTAGTGGTAATTAATAATAAATACGTACAGATGAATATACAGTTATGGATGTTGGTCGAAGACTGCGCGTATGCGAGGCCTTCTAACTTAAATGTGTATTATGTAAATGTTTGTATGTATGTTTATACTAGGAATACGTAAATATAAGTTATAAATGCTGAAATATTATTATAAAACAATAATACACGTTAATACAAAACCTACTCACACACATTCAGCCCTTAAAGCAGAATAATTTTACGATATATTGCATACACACACAAACACATTTATATATATATATATATATATAGAAGATGTAATATGTAAATATATATATATATATCTATTTTTTATTGGTCTAACTTCAATATGAAGGAATAGAAGATTTGTAACACGAACATCACCGCATTGAGATTTGCTGTGTTCCTAGAGTTCACTTAAGCTGTATATAAAATAGATATGTATACTACATATGTATTTAGTGTAAAGGTCTAGAGACTAGAGCCTGAGGTCAAACTAGAATAGACAAGTAACGGAGCATTTATTGCGCTCCCACTTGCACTGGTCTTTGGGGCTGCATTTTCTATACGTCATTTGTGTACCATTTAAGCAACATTTACATATATAGAACGGTTTCGAAGCACGATATTATAAAACTAAGTAGTCACCCTCAAGTCTTTATTGTTATCGGTCTGCGATTATTGTTTTGTTTTTCATTATTATTTTTTATTTTTATTTTTTTCTTGTTTATGAACAAGTTCACTTTTATATATATTTCTATTGTTCTAGTAGTTTACCATATGGATTAGTTGAAATTTAAACCAATAACGTTTAACCTAAGTCACCGAGATATTGAATCAAATAAATTGTAATACATGCAAACGAAATTAATCTGTTAATTCCATTTTAAAACAAACATTCAAACTGTTGGCGCCATAACTGCCAATGCAACAATGCGTTCAGTGTTTCTTGTGATTTATTTTTCGCCATCAGCTGTAGCAACATATATTTTTTTAAGGAAATCTGGCCACACTGTGTCGCCAATTGTATGTTTTGTAATTTTGAGGTTGGTTCTGATACATTTGTTTTACAATTCATATTTTGTAACATATTCGAAACTAATTAACAGACAGGTGTACTGCTCAACTAGCCAAAAGTGCATTGACTGCGAGTACTCATTGGTGCGCCTCTTCATGCAACTATAACACATCTAAAATAACTAGCAACAGCATCGGCATCGACACCGACATTAAAACAATCCACTGCCGGAATGAGTTTTCCTGACAAAGCGCAGCGCGCCAAGTGCTGGTCGACACGTGATGAATACTGGAAGTGTCTAGACGACAATGCGCCCAAGCACAGCTCAACGAGCGGTGAAAAGGTGCCAAATGCCTGCCAGAAAATGCGCAAGGCGTTCGAGCAATCATGTCCCGGACAGTGGGTAAAACACTTTGACCGCAAGCGCACATACGAGCAGTTTAAGGAAAAAATGGCATCTGGGTACGACCCGCTGGAATCCACAAAGGCTCAAGATTCACCCAAATGAGTAGGCGAAGAAGAAGTGAAGGTTCAAAATGTTACGCTGTTTTCTTTTTTTTTTTGTATTGTTATAGTGTAGTGTAAATAAAACATAAGCATTAGCATTATGACTACGCTAATTGTTGTTTATTAATTATACACATTATATACATACATATATATTTGTATTTGTATTTGTATATGTTTACGAATCGAATTTGAAATTGAAAATTTAAAATATATACGCCAGTGTGTACGCATGCAAGTGTTTTTCACACATAAATTGCACTAAAAATGTCCATAAACCTTTCGCTCGAAAATATAAGTATGTACGTAAAGTATGTATGTAAAATATAAGTATATACATTTAGATTGTCATTACCTCTACAGGTTTTAAATCAAAATTTCAGTTGAAATGTGCCAAACATGGTCAAAAACAGTGCCTTGAATATTGCAGTTGCGCCTGCCAGTGTATACACATCGAATTAGTTTTGTGTATTTAAAAAGTGCTAAAAATTACTTAAAAGTCTTGAACTCGAAAACGGTCAAAGCCATAGACCACTTTTGATTGCTGTACTTATTATTAAACAATTTAATTGAAAGTGGCAAGTGCTGCGTGACACTCACATTATATAAATGTCGCCATGAATCCGATAACGTTTGGCGTTTTAACAGGTAAGCGAATAGTGTTGAATCTGCTGCGTATATTTATATTAATTAATTGTTTGATGTTTCAGTTAGTGACAGCTGTTTCCAGGATCCTGCCAAGGATAAGAGCGGGCCACGTCTGGTGGCGCTGATACGCGACTCCTTTGACAATGCGCAGGTGGTTATCAGTGTGCTGCCCGACGAGCGTGATCTCATACAGCGCGAGCTGCGCAAATGGATTGATCGCAGCGATGTGGGTATCATTATAACGACGGGCGGCACCGGCTTTGCGCCGCGCGATGTCACGCCGGAAGCAACAAAGCCGCTGCTCGATAAGGAGTGCAATCAGCTGAGCCTAGTCATTGCCCTGGCCTCGCTGCAGAAGACCAAGTACGCGGCATTGTCGCGCGGCCTCTGTGGCATCGCAGACAATACGCTGGTGCTTAACTTTCCGGGCAGCGAGAAGGCCGTAGCCGAGTGCTTCGAGGCGGTACGTGATCTGCTGCCCCACGCCCTGCATCTGATCCGTGACAATGTTGCCCTCGTGCAGCGCACGCACGCTGAAGTCCAGGACACTGCTGCGTTGCCCAGCGTGCCCAGCGTGCTCAAGCGAGATCACGTCTGTCCGCACAAGACGGGCGCTGGTGACGATGTGGATCGCAATTCGCCGTTTCCCATGCTGCCGGTGCTCCAGGCCCTGGACACCATTCTAAGCGTGGTGCAGCGCAATAGCAAAGTGGAGCAACAGCTGCGCACACTTGTATCACCGGTCAACATACCCCCATTTCGTGCATCTATCAAGGATGGCTACGCAATGAAGTCCACAGGGTTTTCCGGAACCAAACGTGTTCTAGACTGCATTGCCGCCGGCGATAAGGTAAGGAGTTGCTAGTTGCTATTGTTTATGAAATTGAAGATTTTGATATTTTATCTGGCTGATGCAGGTTAACCAACATCCACTGCGGGAGGATGAGTGCTTCAAGATCAATACGGGCGCACCGCTGCCGGAGAATGCGGACTGTGTGGTGCAGGTGGAGGATACAAAGTTAGTGAAGAGTGACAAATATGGCAAAGAAGTTCTGGTCGAGGTTCTGGTTGAGCCCAAGGCGGGCCAGGATGTGCGGTGAGTTGCCCTGATAAACGAATAACAACTGCATTTATATAGCTATAATCCATCACAGATCCATTGGTTACGATTTGCGCGTGGGCGATCCAGTGTTTCCCGCCGTCGACTGTTCACCGGTTATCATCAAATCCTTGCTGGCCTCCATTGGCAGCCAGCTGCCGCAGCGCAAGCCGAAAGTGGCCATCATCTCAACGGGCAGCGAGCTGCTGGCGCCACACCAGCCATCAGCCGCTGGCAAAATCTATGACTCGAATACAACCATGCTGGAGGAGCTGCTGCTCTACTTTGGCTTCGATTGCATGCAGCAGCACGTGTTGGGTGACGAGTAGGTGGCTCAGATGCGCAACAACGCACAGATCAGCACAGCACAGCAGAACACACTAAACGATTTATTCTGTTTTGCATTTAAGCCTGACTACCATTAAGCAAACCCTGTCCGATCTCTATGATGCTGTGGACTTTGTCATCTGCAGCGGCGGCGTCTCAATGGGTGACAAGGACTACATCAAGCCAGCGCTGAAGCAGCTCAAATTCCAGCTACATTTCGGACGCGTTAACATGAAGCCCGGGTTGGTTGTCATTTGCATAAGCCATACTCAAAAACTTAGTTAATTAGTTTAATTCATAGCAAACCGATGACATTTGCGAGCAGGGATCAGAAGTACTTCTTTGGCCTGCCCGGTAATCCCGTGTCCGCCTTTGTCACATTCCATCTGTTCGCTTTGCCCGCCATACGCTGGGCAGCCGGCTGGGAGCGGACCAAGTGCACGCTACCCATTGTTAATGTGACGGTAAGTCAAAAGTCTTCGATTGTGAAATAGCAGAACTTATCGCTGCGGCAAGTACTTCACCCAGATTACCTAATGATGGTCAACAAATGTGACAGCCGATTGAGATTGATGTTGACAGACTTGATCAATCAATTTTTGTTCTATATATAGATCTATACATATTGGAAATATGTCACACTCTTCCTGAAGCTGTTGTTCGTCGCATTTGATTATAAAAGCGCTTGAACGTTATCTGGGTGGAGCCCTCTTTCCAATGCGGTGCGATAAGGGGCACATTAAAGACATTCTTCAATTAATATTTCGACACGCATATTTGTTATCGCTCTCAGGCTATAAGCGCTTACGCAAATATGCCACAAAAAGAATTGTGTATTTAACTTATCTGAAATTATGATTAGACCAACTTATTTTTCTCTGTGGATACATGTTGTTAAAAAACTGGAATTTATGACACCTGTCAGCAAGAACGAAATTAACCGGATGAGCTAGCCGGTTTTTAAATATACAATATACAATATATAATGTATGCGCTTTTAACACCAGTATTGAAATGTGCTTAATGTGAGCTGAACAATCGGAGATTATTTGAGACGCTTTCAATAGACTAACCAGACTGCCAACTTATGCATGTCCATGAATACTAACAGTGATTTCATTCATATATATTTACTGATTCTTATACCAAATTTATTCAAATCTTGAAAACTCATACAGACTACAAAAATCTCTGTAGAATGCAGCCGATATTCTGCCAATGAGAATTACCCAACTTGTATACTTTTTAACGTAATAGGAAACGCTTCAAAATTCTATCCTATTCCGTAGTTCATTTTCGAGTTACATTGAGTTATTTAGCAATTCTGAATTATAGATCTTTATCAATGTTTATTAACAAACTTTATTTATCTATCGGTTGCAGTTGCTCAACGATGCCATTGATTTGGATCCTCGTCCCGAATATGTTCGCGCCACGGTGACCAGTATTCAAGGCCAGCTGCATGCCAGTGTCAATGGTGACCAGGTAAGCTGATCGCCGATGACAGTCCCAGTTCCAATTGGTAACTGAACATATCCATTTACAGATCAGCAGTCGGCTGCAGAGCATTGTGGGCGCGGATGTCCTTCTCCATTTGCCAGGACGTAGCGACAACAAAAAGCAGGCGCGTGCTGGTGATGTTTTCAGTGCCTCCGTGCTGCGCTATGATTTCATCTCAAAATACGAATAGCAAGGAGGAGGGCAACACAAAGTGTCCTTCCAAGGATCACAAAAGAAAAAAAAAAACCATAAATGTGAACACAAAAATGCTTGCAGATTAGCACAAATTTTGTAAAAATGTTTATTTTGATATGTTTGTGTGTATGTAGATACATATAGATATATATATATATATATATGTATATACATATAAATCGTAACATTATATATATATTTATATGTATACGCAATCGCTGCGTTTTTTTTTTTTTTTGTTTTTTCAGCAAAATACACCGAACCAGTGTCAACAAATTGTTGTCTACAAATCAAATGCAGCAAATTGTCAACTTGTCTTTGTAAAAAATGGTTACACGAAAAAAAAAAAAATGTTTATAAGTAGTAATAATTAAACATAAACATTGCAAAAGAATGTTGATATCGAAACAGTTAGGCATATATGCATATATGTGTATAGCTGATTACAAAAGATAAAGACAAGGATTTTGGGGTTATCCGTATGTACAGGAAATATGGTATGGTAAAAGGCACGCAATTAGCTCCGATCAAACGCACTGCATCGGATTGCCATTCCCAGGCAGCTGAATGCGGATGACATAAAACTCTCCACTCGACTCGACTCGGCTCGGCTCGCTTCAGGCTTAGACGGACTGCGTGGCGGCCTCGCTACTGGGCCGATGTAGGCGCAGCGAGGAGCGGCATGGCAACGTGAATTGATACTTGTTGTGGGAGAGCAGCGTGTAGCGCTGCTGGGGCGTATAGTCCCACAGTGCCCGCTCAATGACCTGCAGTGCACTGGCGCTCAACACATCCGCCGTATATTGGGTTGGTGCGCCCGGGCACTGTGACATGGCTATCAGGGAACAAGAAAAACCAAACAGAGAGATTAGTATATGCCAGAGAGAGAGAGAGGGAGAGGGAGAGAGAGGGGAGACACTTACTTTGAGCAACTGGCGCCTTGTACAACGATTCGACAGTCATGCCGCATGTGTCCAATGCGACAATGCTGACACCATACGGTTGGAGCTCCTTGCGCAGCTCCTCGGCACACTTCTCGACGGCGACACGGGACGCATTGAATGCGACCAGACCGTCACCGCCCATGCTGGCGCCTGCACTGCTGCCGCCCAAATAGAGTAGACGGCCGCGTGTCGGACGCAGCAGCCCCACAAATGCCTTGGCCACGCGCAGCGTGCCCAGTATGTTCGTCTTGAGCATATGCTCCCAGTGCTGCACATCCTGCGATTCGACACGGCCGCGATACACACTGCCGCTGGTATTGATGACGGCAGCAATGCCACGCTCATTGGCATTCAGATGGGCGCCCATTGCGATAGTTGCCTCACGCAACACATCCTCACGCGTCACATCCAGCCGCATTGGTATAATGGTGCCGCTAATCGGTTCCTCGCTGTACTCGCGTATCTTCATCCAGCCGCATAGCAGTTTGGCTGGCAGCGAATCGCGTGCCTCCTTCATGCCGGCAAAGACGCGACAGCCCTTGTTCGCCAGATACGTGCACAGCTGGAGGCCGAGCGCCGTATCGGCGCTGGTGACCAGCACCACACGACTGGGTGGCGACAATTCGGCATTGCACGCCTGACTCTCCTCGCGCACCTTGCATATCAGATAGATGAGCAGCGCGCCGGCGATCGAGAAGAGCGCCAGCAGCTGGAAGGCCAATACCAACATGGTCATTGGCTCCATTATGTCATTGCTGCAAAACACAAAATGCAAATGGAAGCAAATGCGATTAGGAATTATTTTACAGTTGTTTTATTTCTATCTAGATTTTCGAATTTTTAAATTCCTGTTTTTTTTTTTAGAATAATTCTATCTGATTAATAAAGTGAGTTACTTTTGGGCTACGTTTCTTTTTTGCGAGTGTATTCATGGTAAAGCCAAGGAATCAAATATTAATATGCGGAAGAAAGTGCGTTTTGCGCTGCATTTGGAAAAGGCGGCTGGTGCAGAAGGGGGTGTGTCCGCTTATCGTCGTTTAATTGCGTAACGGTGACGTAGGCGGATGTATGCTTTTTGCCACAAATATGGCAATGCCATTTCCGCATATCAACAACGTCACAAAAGTCTCCTATAGATACAGCTACAGCTACAGATACAGATACAGATAGAGATATGTATTTATGCTGCCATGCGTTGCAGAGCCCATCGGAACATGGACCAAATATAGCAATTAGATAGTGAAAGAAATGCTGCAACTGGAACTGCAAGTGGAACTGCAACTGGCTGGGCTGTCTGCAACAAGAGATCGACAAGATAGAGGATAGGATTGGATTTCGTCTATGTAGGGTTTGAACAACTTTTACTTTGGGCCTGGCTGAAAGAGGTCGGTCGCTATCAATGTGTGCTGTGTGTGTGTGTTGTGTGTGTTGTGTGTGCAGTCGTCTTCTGGCGCGTGCAGTGAAAACTTGAGAGGCACGTAGACATAATTTATTGCCAAATGCATGAAACTTTTGGGCTGGACACGCACTGCTGGCCACGTGCAGGGGCCCAAACGTGGTGCCGAGGCCCAAATGCTCGGTGCCAAGCTGTAGCCGTAGCCGTAGCTGTAGCTCAATGGCTCTGCTCGTATATGGTCTGTGGGTTTTTGTATTTTGTATTAAAAGTGAAGACTCTTTCGATTTCAGAGTGGGGGCAGCAGGGGCAGCAGCGGCAGCGTGAGGGAGACCATGACGGACTATGACCATGTCTGAGGGAGCGACTCTGCCAACTGCTCGTAAATTGTACAAAAATTGGAAGAAAAACGCGCAATAATTAAGCGAATCAAATGTAAAGCAATAATGAATAAAAGCGATACGATGAAAACACATTTAACAAAAATTAAAAGTAAAGCAACAAATAAAAGGCAAAACATCTTTTTTTCTTTTTGTTTCTCTTTCATTTCTTTAAATGGAACTGAATGCGTTTTTGTTATTATTATTGTTATTGTTATTTGTTATTGTTGCTCTTGTTGCACATAGCAAAGCGCATAATTAAAGTGAAAATGCGCCAAATTGATGTAAATATATATATATATAGATATAGATAGATATACAGATAAAACTACTTAGTTGCCAGCTGCTTAGCTGCTTAGCTGCCACTTTGCCACTTAACGCATTGCCAGGAAATGATATGTTATTATTTTATTTGTTTTATTGCGAGTAATGCCGAATCGATGCCACACAAAACACAACTCGAGCTGTTGCATAATGCACAAGACTGACTTTAGTGTGGCAAATACGAGCTTACTTAACAGCGATGATATTCGATAACATTCTTTTTCATTTCAAATATTTGAATCGCAAATTGAATTTGTTGTTCATTTGCTGTTAGTCTGTTTCTGCTTAAATCTGTTTTGTTTTAGCTGTTCTATCTATATATATATATATCTATATTTAGATACTTGTTGCTTAAATAGATCAAAAATAGTATTACAGATTGTAGTTAAGAACTTATCTGAAGTTCAAGAATTTCCCCTGATTCAGAAGCAACCAAAATCTTTAACTTTCATTATATTCTTAGATTAAGTCGGTTTATTCTAGGCTAAACATTCTTGAAATAAGTTTGTTGTCTTTCTACGTCTTATTTTGCTTCTTGAATAGAGAATATTTTCTTTCCAGTTCTCATTTTCACTATCGAACTAAGTTTGTTTCTCAAGTTTACATTTTCATTCTTCAATTAACAATTTTGTCTTTCAAGTTCTCGTTTTCTTTCTAGAATTAAGTTTATCCTTTTTCTACTAGTTAATTGCATTATTTTTAAGTATTTTTTTTTCCTTTTTTACTTCTCATTTTCCTTCTAATTTATTAAAACTCTTTCTTGATTTCAGATTGAAGATCTTCACCCGAGGCAAATATATTCTTCAGTTCATATTGGCAATTCTAGAATGAATAAAATGCATTCGTTTTACAAATTTGTATTTATATAATTCTTGTGAACTTTAGTTTATATTTGGACTTTTATCTGAATTACAGAATGGTGCTTCAAAGTATTAATTGGTATTGCAAAATACTTAAAAAACTGCAATGTGAATTAAATGTTTTTGGCTAGCAATGTTGTTAAGAGCATCGATCTTGTCTTAAACTGTGCTTAACTGTGTCTCAAATATATACTGGCATCCAGTGTGCTCGACCAGTTTTGTGGCAGTTGCAACTGACCCAGTTCTGTGGCCAATTCCGATAGCGACTTTAAGCCAAACGGTCATTAACATAACGTGGCCCATTGCATAAGATGGCGACACACGACGTATGCGTCGTGTTGCATCAACATCGTTAGTTGTTGCCAGTTGCCAGTTGCCTGTCAGTTGTCAGATTGTTGTTGTTGCTGGTTGTTGTTGCTGGTTGTTGTTGCTGGTTGTTGTTGCTGGTTATGTGTCAGTCATGTCAATTGCGGCTTGTTCTAAGTAGCTAGAAACGGTCCACGTTTGGCGTCAAGTTGACCATGTTGTTAATTAAGTTGCCGCTGCAATTGGTAATTGGCAAGCAAACAGGCAACAAGCAACGGCCAACGAGCAACAATTAACCATTGACAATTGTTAATTGTGAATGCGCATAAGTGATTCAATTATGTGAAATATGTTGTTTGTTCATTGAACTTGCGACTCAGCCAACTGACTGTGTCAGTAATGGCCAATTAAAATCTCTGCTGCAGCTCCATAAATATATATATATATACGAGTATATATAATTGCTTCTCGTCGATCTCACCAATTGAGCATGTATGGAATGCCAAAGATAAGACACAGCTTAAAGATATGTGTTTGTTTTAATTGAAAAACGTGCTTGAACTGAGCCAATATTTTGCTTATCTCAGCTTAGCTGTTTAACTATCAGTCAGCGAAATGGTTATTATAATGAGTCAACTTATTTGGTATTATGTATAGGCTACTAATCTATTGGAGAGCCGGTGAAATATGTTCAAGTTTTCGTGGCTTAAATAAAGTCTCTTCTTCTCTTTATCCCTATCATTAATAATTTCAGATTTTAGCTCTGAATTGACTGAATTGTCTGAATTGGTTAAAAGGTTTGGCTCAACGGCCAGTTAAGTATGTGGCCAAAAGTTGCTAATTAACATAGCTGTTTGGCAACAGAGGAATTTATTATTATATTAATGAATGGCATAGTTTATGAGTTTATATATCATTTCTATATCTGCGTGTTAGGATGATTTATCAGTCATTTAACTTTGGCATTTTTCATATTTACTCTCATTTATTACTTGATTTTTATCATCGGTTTATAAACAACATTAAATAAATAAAATGAAAACGTGTTGCGATTGAAAACTAGTTAATTTTCTTGACTAACAGTTAGTTTTGACACCTGCTTTTTCAAAGTTCTAACGGGGCATGATTTCCACTGAGATATTTTTGTTTGTGGCCGATAAAAAGCAGTTAGTTTGACAATTGTTTGTTTATCGTTGTGTACTTTTTACATAGTTAAAGTATTATATTTTTCTTTGGAGATATATTCATAACAAAAAGTTCACATAACTCAAAATGGTCGGAACAATTGTTGAGCTGTGTTTTCATTTTTGTCGTTTTCTTATGCAAATCTTTACAAATAATCAAAACTAATTGTTGTGTTTTGAGCTGGCAGCGAAAAGAGTTGTGATTAGTTTTGAACAGATCAGGTCATTGTCTGCGACAAGATGTGGCAGCGGCAGGCGGGAGGAGTGGCAGTAGGGAACAGAGACAGCGACAGCGACAGAGACAGGCTTAAAAGTAGTTAGTGCCTGCGGCAAGGGAAGCGAAAGGCATAAATAAATACGTATAGAAAGACATTAAAGCAACGAAAGGCAGCTCAAAAAACAACAGATACAGATACAGATACAGAGAGAGATAGAAATAGAGATACAGATAGAGATACAGATAGAGATAGAGAGCTAAAGATTGAGACACACACAAGTATCTAACATAACCATCTTGACTCTTGAGTTTTTGTTTGTTTGTTGGCCACAAATTAGCAACTTTTGCATAGAACTCAAGATGAAGTACAAAGTTACAGATACAGATACAGATACAGATACAGATACACAGCAACAGACTCTGCTTCAGATACGAATACGTTGAATACAGTCGCAGATGCGGAGTCAAGTGCACGCTGAGTTTTGACTCTTTGTTGTGCCAGTTCAAGTGTAGCTTTTAATCACTTCAATCGCAGCTAATTTTATACACAGACACATCGAGTGCGGCTGCCTCATTAAAAGATACAAAAACGTATCTGAGCAGTTGTGCGGAAAAGGGGAATAGATGCTTAATTAAGTCTATCTTATTTGCCTCATATATGTATGTATCTCATACAGGTAAATGCGCATAAAGGAGATACTCCTCACTTAAAGAACTTGAATATAGAAATGCACAGCTCTCTCTCTCTCTATCTATCTCTCTGTCTATCTCTCTCTCTGTCTCTCCCTCTCTAAGGAGTTGGCTATTATAGAGTATATACTCTCTGCAGTAATTTGCTGAAAGTGACTAACAATTAAATATAACATTTCATTTATTATCTTTCTCCATCTCTCTCTCTCTCTCTCTCTTTCTGTTGCAAGCAGGATGATAAAAAGATGGCACTTGATATTTATATATATATATATATATATATCTTTTTAGCTTTAGCTGACAATCTCGCCAAGTTTCCGTTGGTCTGTTTAAAAGGCATACACACATTTCTATGTAGATATATATATATATATATATGTATATATGTCTGCCAGAGGGCT